TTACTGAACACCAAGTAGATGCTCCAACAAGAAGGATCAATTTCACATTTGTGCCTCATCCAGAGAAAGATGAGCTCATCTTGTATGGTGGTGAATTCTTCAATGGACAAAAGGTACTTGTAAACATTCCATACTGTATAACTGAAATCTAATATATTTCATTCCAGACTTTTGTATACAATGACTTATTCTTTTATAACATCCAAAGCAACTCATGGACTTTGATAAAAGCCCCAGCAGGTCCTCCACCTAGATGTGGACATCAAATGGTGGCAACAGCAGCCAACAAGGGCCAACTGTGGCTGTTTGGTGGGGAATATGCTAGTCCAACACAATCTCAATTTTACCATTACAGAGATCTTTGGGTGTACCACATTGCAAACAAACAATGGCAGAAGATCACTGCACCAGATGGACCAAGCTCGCGAAGTGGTCACAGGATGGTTTACAATAAGAAACAGTTGTTTGTGTTTGGTGGTTTCCATGATAATTTGAGAGACTACAAATATTTTAATGATATACATTGCTTTAATACTGAAACCTACAAATGGGTTAAGCTTCAAGTGACTGGTGTTGCGCCGGCACCGCGTTCTGGATGCTGCATGGTTGCTCTGAACGATGGAAAGATTCTCGTATATGGTGGATACAGCAAGGAGAAAATCAAGAAAGATGTTGATAAAGGCCATGTCTACACTGATTCCTTTGTACTAACTCCAGATAGTAAGTTTATTCTCGATTTAGCATATATATTTGAAATATTAATAAATTGTTATTAATAATTATAGAAAATGACACGACCGGCTTAAAATACAAATGGGTTTCAACGAAATTGAGTGGTATACATTTCTCTCCTAGGTGCAGTATGCCCATTACAACTGCACCAAACAATATGGCTTACTGCTTCGGAGGAGTATTCGATGTTGAAGATGACGAAGAAAACATCGCCGGGAATTTTTATAATGATTTGATTTGCTTGGATATGGAAAAACTGGCATGGCGAAGCGTAAATTTAACTGGGAAACGGGACAAGGAGGCAAAATCGAGGAGAAGGAAAAACAACGAAGCCGGAGATAAAGGTAAAATAAAAATTTTCATTTCTATTGTTACTATTTTAATTCAAAATGTTACATGCATTAATCTCAATTTGCTGTAAGTATAATAAATATCACAGTGAGTCTAATTCTGATCTTAATTTCAGACGATATGGATGCTGAAAATGAGGATGAAACGGTGGAAGTTATTCAAGAGAAGGTGGAAGCAACTACGATTGCCGACGATGGCATTTTTAAAGTAACCATTGGTCCAGCCTCGACAAGTACCCAGCAATGTGCTAACAACTCGCAATCAGCCGAAGGAAATACAATTTTCCAGCCTTCTGCTAGATTGAACTGCGGCTTGGCTGTGAAGCACGGAGTTCTGTACCTTTACGGAGGGATGTTCGAGGACGGCGATAAAGAGATTACGTTCTCAGATTTCCATGCGCTCGATCTGAAGAAGGGCGAGGAATGGAGGACAATCATTAAAGATAATATCAAGTCCGCCGAATGGCTTGGTTCGGATGACAGTGCAGACGAAGAAGACGACGATGATGAAGAAGAAGATGATAGCGATGAATCAATGGATACGGATTGAAAATGAATTTTGATTTATTTTTTTTTATATATATATATATCTAAATTAAATATATTTAATGTTTCCGTTTCCTATGTTTAAACAGTGCACTTTTCGTATTGAACCGCATTTCGCACTTATCGCATTCGATTTCCTTAAGCTTGCTATGCGTCCTCATGTGATCTTCCAGTCCTTTCGAAATCAACTTTCCACATACATTGCATGATTTCTTCGTAACATTTCCGTCGTGATACTTAAGATGAGCATCCAAATTCTTTTGCGAGACGAAGCTCTTCTTGCAGATTTGGCAGTGGAAGTTTCTTTGGCCTGTGTGCTTATTCACGTGTGACTCCAAGTACTCTTTACGCATGAAACCTTTGGAGCAGATGGTACAGTTGAACGGTAACTTATCGTTGTGGAATTTCATGTGAAACTTCAAGTTGCTCAGTGTCTTGTACGTACGTCCGCACTGCGGACACGTGAACTTCTTGTTTGCACTGTGCGAAATCATATGCGTTTTATAATCGGAAATCTTGACGAATCCCAAATTGCATATGGAACATATAGATGCGAACTTCTTGTCGTGCTTGAGACGCGCGTGGTTCTTGAGTTTGGTTGACGTTGGAAACGATTTATCGCAGAGTTTGCATTTGAATGGAAGCTTATTGGAACAGAAGTTTTGGTGGTCGTTCAAGTTGGATTTGGTTCTAAACGGTTTCTTGCATATCTTGCAAACGAATGCCTCGATCTTAACAGCCTCGCATAGTTTTCTCTTGTGCGTATTGTAATGCATCTTAAATTTGGTTAATTTCGTAAACCTCCGACCGCATACGTCGCAGAGGTAATTCACCGGCAATCTGTGCTTCTTCGTATGCACTTTGAATACGGCTCTCAAGGAAATCACCTTTTTGCAAGTTTTGCACGTCATCTTGTGAACGCAATGATTCTGAGGCAACTTCACTTTAACTCCGTTCGTCGATTCAAATTTGGAAACTAAATCCTTCTTGAATCCTAGAAACTTGTGTTCCAAGTTATCAATTGTATTTACAAGGTTCAAGCATTGTCCACATAGGTAACTGCCTTCATTTAATTTCCCCACAAGTTCAACTAGTTTAGTGTACACTGGTTTCTGTGAGCTCATTGTTAAAGGACTTTCAGGTGTTAGGAAGTAAAATTGATTACCCACTGGGGAATAAACAACATTGCAAATTGTACAACTAAACTTCCTCTCAACATAAGACTCCTCATCAGATTCTTCTACTACAATATCACTCTCTTCATTGCTATCCTCAGTCTGTTGATCCAATGCCATCGACTCAAAGTTCAAGACATCCATAAAAGCCTCCTGATTATAATCTAGCTGCTGCATACAATCATAATTGTTCTTTATGCTGCAATACTTTACAGGTCCTCCAGTCTGTTCACAGTTCATCTGTGAACAGGATGGATACTCTATGTAGCTCTTGTTGTACCATTGCTGATCTTTGAATGGATCCAGATTACTGCAGCAACTTGCAGGACTCAACTCCTTATTATTATATATATCAATTGAGTCTACCTTATCTGGCAACTTCATCTGGTTTTCTGGCATCCAATCTGAGTGTTCATACTGTGGCTTCTGGTTGTAATAATAATCATACAATTGTTGTTGATTGTAATTTGTTGAAGAGATTGCAGGTATGTACTGGGACTGTTGAGCACATTGGGGCCTTGCATAGTAAGGGACTTCTTGAAATGTTTTATTAGGCATTTTGACCTAAATTTAGCAACTATTTCACAATTTTTTACAAAATAAATCTTAAACTTTTAGGTTATATTTACATTAACTAAATTTAAATCACTGTCATCTGCTGTCATGCCCAGCTGTCATTCACTATAATTATATGTTACTCAAAATATAAAAGCTATGTGGTAAATATATTAAATAATTTACTTTATACATTAAATTTCTTTCTATATATTTAATATTAATGATAAATCCTTATAATTATGGTAAAAGTGGGTAAAAGTATATAATTACTTGCAAATAGCATTTAAGTTGGCTATTTGGAAATATTATTAGATTGGTAACATTGAACCAAGAATTTAAATATTTTTTATGGTACACATTTTGGAGGGAACTCGAGTCTAACGGTTTTTATTTCCGAGAAGTGATTTTCATTGCGAGTTTAGTTGTGCGTCCTTTTAAACGTTTTAAATTTGTTTATAAACAATGGATACGCAGCCCTCCGTTGCGAGCTATTTCAATACAAGAAAGAAGACTACGCTCGAGGATATTAAGGCAACGAGAAGTAGTAAACTGCAATTGGATAGTGAATTAACCACAACAGTTGTGAACGCAGTTCAATTGAAAGGTTTAGCAAATGTGAAGAAAGCCATCTTCTGTGATGATATCCAGGAAGCTAAAGAAGTGACTGCAAAGATTGTAACTGTGAAAAATGTGGAAACTAAAGCTAAGACCAGGAGGGCAACTAAGGTTGCCTCCGCTAAGAAAATTAAAGAGAACAAGAATCAGCCAGATATTCAGGAGTTGTTCAAAAAGATGAATAAGACTGACTCTACAAAGGATACCATGGAGGTGGATCCGGAGCAAAATCTAAAAACACCACCCTCAACACCGACAAAGAGAGTGAACATTATGGATACTATAAAAGTTTCTGGAAATGAACCCACTTTCAATGAAATTAAGCAAAAATTGACTAGGAGTTCTCGTCTGGCTGAGCTTAAGGCTTCTATGGCCAGATTCAAAGAAGGTCAAGCAAAGTTGGAGAAAAAACAAGAATTAAAGACACCAGCATCACCAAGTTTAAACAAATTTAGGAAATTAGAATTAGAAGTAACTTTAAGGTATGTTTCTGCATGAAAATTGTAAATTAAATTATTAATTGTATATTTTTCAGTCCAAAGAAATTCCAATCTCCAGAAAAGGCATATTTGAGTCCCAAAAAGGATGTTACTGCAAGGAAGAATCTATTGAATTTATTGACACCAACCAAGAATGCTCTCTCAATTCCAGCAAGTCCCAGTAAACAGTTGTTCACATCACCACAAAAGGCTGCTCTAACCCTTCCTTACAAGTACAGGACTTTGGCTGAGCTTTTCAGAAGCATTGACACTGTCTGCCAAATTATGCACAACCGAAAGGAAATCATTACTTTCAAGAAGTTGAAACCAGCTGTGGAGGAGTTAATCAAAAGAAATATTAGGGAATCACATCTTGGACAAATTAAGACCATTTATCCAGATGCCTATAAATTCAAACAAGAAAAGTTGAGAGCCTATGGAAGTGGCCTGAATCAAGAGCAATGGGAGTTGGTGATTGAGCCTGTGATTGATCAGGAATCGATGACATCGCAAGTGCTCTTAGATCGCCGCAGACATTTGTACAACACCCTCATAAATAAAACGAAAGTATTGCATAATGAGTTCCTATTGACTCTGGATCCGCCCATGCACATTCCTCTGGAGAGCTTGAAGAAGTGGCATCCAGAATTTGATATCGAAAGAGTACCGGACTTGGAGAATGCCGAGATTCCGCAGCCACCGGACGAGGAAAAGTTTTCATCCGGAAAAGACGTATTGGAGAAGGCAAAGGCTATGTTCAATTGCAATACGCGGATGGAACAAGCTTTGGAAAGACTGAAGAAAGCCCAAGAGCTTCAACCGAAACAACCCGAAAAGACTCCCGAAGTTTCGTCTGTGCTTAAAGGTGTACCAAAGGCTCTGCTAGAGAAGGTGCGACAGAGGCAGGCCGCTAAAGCTTTGGAGTCAATGACGAGGTCCGAGTCGAAAGAAAAAGAAATTCAACTGTATTCGCGGCTACCCGAGTTCGCAAGGCTCACGAGGAATATTTTTGTTGCCGAGAAGAAAAACGTCCTGCCCATTGACACGGTGCTAAATAAATTGACGAACAGCATCAGAAACTTTATGACGAAGGCGGATATCGAGGAGCATTTGCGTACGCTCTCCAAAGAGATGCCCACGTGGATGGTCTTCCACGCGATCAGAAACGGCACGTTCATTAAAATCTCTAAGGATGCCGACATAAGCATAGTCATTAACAAACTAGATGCCTTGCTTAAACAGAAAACGGATGGATGAACTTGGATCATTACGATTTTTGCGATTTTTATTTATAATATTATCATGAGCATGATTTTTAAGTCCAAACATTTTTTTTTTAAATTAATTTAATTGATAATTTATCATAGCAAATAAAGTTTTAATGAAACAATTCTCTTTGTTTTTTTATTATATGAATGTTATTGAAGTCAGCATACCATTGTTTTTCATAACAACAATAAGTAGGTCGATTTTGTAATGTTATTTATTCAATATTTGTTATTTCAACAAATATTCAAATACAAAATAAATAAAGAGTTATTCTCTTATTTATTTTTATAGTTCTAATAATTATATAGATGTAAGAGTTATCTATAATATTTTATTCATAATTTTGTTAGTAAAAAAAATGCTTCAGTTGAACAATTTTGGAGTTGAATAAACAGATGTGCAGCATATGTTGGGCTGACCCTATGGGATGTTATCTAATGGTATCTGCTGCCATCTTTCTTAGCTAAAGAGAAGCACGTATTGTCATACCATCACAAGATAGGTTAGGTACCTTCTTCGCATCCATTATTTTAACCCATCAGCCGCCCATGATTCACCGTGATTATTATTGGGTGCATGTACAATTTTGTCAAAATTTCGTCAGTAGTCAGTGGTGTAATGCTTCCTTTAAAATGCATAGGTAAGGAATATTGTCGTTACCATCAGTTTTTGCATTTTCGTGATGCATCGAAGCAAATAATCAATACAAATGGGCTGATTGCTTAATTATAGTTAGCAACAAATTGAGATGTGCATATCTCAGTTAACAATGAACAGTTTCCAAGTCAAAAGTCCACAGCAATCTGAATAAAATAGCAGATTAAGTGCAAAGGGGAAATGCTCAATGAAGAAAACGTATTTAAATAATTGAAATTATACACAATGTATTATATTGTAAAGTGTTTAGCAAAATGGTTGTGATCAGAACTGTGGATAATCGTTGGATCAAGCGATACCGAATATTCTTTGGAATAGTGGGAATAATAGTATTAGTGCAGTTGTATCTAAGTTCATTCAAGATACTGGCAGACAGTGATGGTAAGGAAAACAAATGGAATCCACATAAAATCTCTGGCCCAGAGGATGCAGAGAATAGTGTCAATTCAGCAAGGAGAGGAAAGGATTCTCTAGCTGTAGATGATGAAGATGCAAGACAAGATAAAGTTCAAAAGTCATCCAATAAACAGGGTACGAAGAGCTATACAAAGCTACGCATTGAAGAACTTGATTTCAAGCCGAGCTGTGAAATTACAACAAAGGAGGCTATTTCAGCAATACACAGAGCAAAAACGCAGAAATGCAAACAAGAAATATCAAATCTTACGTGCCTTATACAGAATGGTCTGTTCTATCCCACTGTGTTGCCAAATTACTGTCCCAATGATGATCTGATAGCTGGAAAGTCTCTAGGCTGTTTCAAGGATGAAAAAAGCTTTAGGATATTAAGGGGTTACTATGCTAATTTCAAAAACAATAATTCCCCAGAGAATTGTATACGTTTGTGCCTTCAATCAGGATTTCCCTATGCTGGAGTACAATATTCGTAAGTATTGAAAACATTAATTTCATTAAAGTTTATAAATTAATTTTATGAATCTCTTGTAGCACTGAATGTTTCTGTGGGATTGATGAACCACCTTCTGTTGCGAGACTACCAGATTCATCATGTAATATGAAATGTCCAGCAAACCATCATTTGGCGTGTGGCGGATATTTCACAATTAACGTTTATCAGACTGGTATTAAAAGTAAGTTGATTAACAACAATTCAAATGGAATGGAATAACAGTGTATTTTTTTTTAGAATTTTATCCACAAGTTGCAACAATAGTTAGCACAGATCCAAAACCTGTGAAGATAGTTTTCCTTTTGACCTTGAACGGTAGGGCGTTGAGGCAGGTGAAGAGATTAATTAAGACTTTGTATAATGTAAACCATTATTTTTACATTCACGTTGATGTGGTGAGTAAACATCAGTTACAACGAAGATCTGTAAAATAATATTTAAAATTTCAGAGGCAGGATTATTTGTTCAGGGAGTTATTAAGTCTGGAGAAGCAATTTCCAAATATAAGACTGACGAGGAAGAGGTACGCGACGATTTGGGGCGGAGCCTCGTTGCTGAAGATGTTGCTGTCCTGCATGAAGGAATTATTGCATTTGGATTGGAAGTGGGATTTCGTTTTGAACTTGAGCGAATCCGATTATCCGGTGAAGACGGTCAACAGACTTGTGGAGTTTTTGGGAGCGAATATGAATAGGAATTTTGTGAAGTCGCACGGCAGGGAGGTACAAAGGTTCATACAGAAACAGGGTCTAGATAAAACATTCATAGAGTGCGACACGCACATGTGGAGGACGGGGGATAGGCAGTTGCCATGGGGAATTCAGATCGATGGTGGAAGCGATTGGATAGCGCTGTCCAGGAAGTTCGTGAATTACGTGGCTTCCGATTACCCGGACCAATTGGTTGAAGGGCTTCTGGTCTTCTTCAAATACACCCTTCTTCCAGCCGAATCCTTCTTCCACACGGTTCTGAGGAATTCCAAGTTTTGCGGCACGTACGTAGACAACAATCTGCACGTGACCAATTGGAAGCGGAGACTCGGATGCAAGTGCCAATATAAGCACGTCGTCGATTGGTGCGGTTGCAGCCCCAACGATTTCAAACCCGAGGATTGGCTGCGGATACAGAACACGCAAACCCGTCAGCTGTTTTTCGCCCGCAAATTCGAACCGATCATCAACCAGGCAGTCGTCGTGCAGCTGGAGGAATGGCTGTACAGTTACGACTTTAGCAAATCCATACTAAACATCAACTCCTACTGGCACAGTATTTACAACGCTTTAGATTTAGGACAGAACGTCGACGATTCAGTAATAAGTATAAGCAATAGTGCCATACGTTCAAAATTCAGGTCTCTGAAATGCAATAATGATCTAATCAAAATTAAAGAGATACACACGTTTCATGTTAGCGATTCCTATAACCGGACGCTGGTGTTATTTGAAGCGACGTCTTTGAATTCCTCGGTGGTTTCCACGTACGAGCTGGGGTTTAGGCCGAGGAAAAGATTGGTCGTGAAAAAGTCGCCGGAGTTTCCATATCGACTGGAAAATCTGGTTGTAAGCAGCGAATATGACCAGAAGGAGCAGATCTCGAGGAATTTTGGAAAAATGCTGGGTCCCTATTCGGAGCCGACGTTGATCTACCATTTCAGTTCGGTTTCAAGTCCGGAACCAACGAAGGTAGCGAACATCTCTTTCCTCTGGATAGACCCGGGCGCAAGGTTAATAGAAATCTCCGAGGTCAGCATCGAAGATGGTTATACCATTGGCCATATTAAACCGAATTTAAAGCAACCGTTGTTGCCGGGATCTTGGACCTTAAAGATGATCCACAAATCGAGTATACTTGCGGAAGTAAAGTTCCTCGTGACACCATTATCGCACATCTCCAACAATTTGGTGTCGCAGAGCCAAGTGAGTTTTATACACGGCGGTTCGGAACTGTTCAAAGAGTACGACGGGACTCTCGATAAATTCCTTCCGGGCAATAATCAGCGGGAATCTCTGGAGATGCTGAGCATTTCAAATTCGAAGCGTTTCGGACAGGATCTCCTCGATTGGATAGACGCGCTTTTCGGGAAATTTTACACCTTGGAGTCTATCTGCATAGCGAGCGCCGCAGACACTTGCGGTCTTAATGTAACCAAATGTTCGAACACCAATTGGAGCTCTTTGGCGCCGGACCCGAAGAGTCACATTGGTAAGATCAACGAAACCACTGGATCGTTCGATTTGTGGTAAAGTGCCATATACAATTGCCATACGTGAAACTTAGTTCAATTCTTCAAAACTTAGATATTCCAATCTTCAATAATTCTACAGAAAGAAAGCAAAAAAAAAAGATAATTGTGACATAAAGCAATATCAAATTGGCACAGCAAACTACGAAAGATTTCTAGATATTTATTATTGCCGAGCAGAGACAATTAGCAGTGGTCGTCCTTGATCAATACGAAACATATTAAAAACTCAATTACTGACAATTGCCTCAACTCTAATGTACATACGTTTACTACTGCACTTTTAGTACCCAATCTTGAACAGTTTAACAAAATCTGATATTGCTTTTTTTTACATATTTATACAAATATATATATTACGTTGTGTAATTATCGTTTCGAGACCAATTAACGTTTATTGTTTTTCCCTTAATTTTATTAAAATCTCTAACAGTGTAATGATTAAGAGAAAATATTTTCAAAAAAAAAAAGAAATTGACTCGATGTAAATAACCAAATTAATTAATGTTGCCCAGATGAAAAAAAAAAGAGATTACCTATTTTTCAATGATATATTTAACTTTAATGATAATTGTGATATCTTTGGTGCTCCTAGCGTATCAAACGTATATTCTTAATGCATGTTTGTTTTCCGTTCATTGACTTTTTATGGAAAAGAAATAATAAATACTTCACCGTTTCTCATCGTCTGTGTTACTGTTTTCAAAATATATCCGATAACATATAAAAAAAATATATATATTTAAACGAGAGTTTGTTAAATGTTAAAAATCGATGTTCAATATTAAATGAATGTATAACATTTCCTGGAATAATATAAACATTAATTAAGAATATATATATATGTACCGTTTAAGGAAGGATATTATTAGTTAAACAAAAATAAATACTAGTAACAAAAAGTTATCCTGATATTTTGAAGAAAACAAAATAAAAAAATAAACTTGAGTGTCATACGTTGTAATGCAATAAAGGAATGAAATATTTTACCTGCCATAAAATGTTAAAATTTTATTTTATCCCTACTATTTCAATGTTCAATCTGCATTGATACATTCACATGTATGCAAAGTTAATTATAAACAATTAATTTAAAACATTTAATTTAATATAAATAAATATAAAGTATACATGTAAAATGCTATTGATGATGTGCTAACAGCTTCATTCTTCACGTACAGATAAATACAACCTTTCGCTTTCGATGCCTTCGACTTTGTACAACTCTTCATATTCTCGTTTCCACAAGTTAATCAATATATCACATTCACTGAAATGTTCCGTGTAATTCAACGTGGTCATTAGGTTCTTGCATTTTCGACCAACGTTCAATTTAATTTCATATCGTTCATCTTCGGTTCGAACAGCTAAATTCTTGCAACAACGTACATCCAAATTGGACAGAGACAAGTCCTCCAGCAATCTGATTAACGTGTTGAAATTCAAGTCGTTGCTGGACAAATCTAAATCCTCTAAATTAATCGCTGTCATCAAGGAACTAAAAAATATACACGATTAGTTGAATAAATATTTCTAGAGACTTATGCATTACCTAATTAACTCTATTGTCTCTTCGTCACCTATTCTACAACCGTTCAGATTAAGCGTTTTCACATTGAGTAAGCCGATGTCGCTCGTCTTTATGAACTCGATGAAGCCCGACGCGAATCCGCTCACCTTGATGCCCGAGTTGTATCCAACACTTAAACTCTTCAGGTTCATGGGGTCCATCCAATTGATGAATCTGAGCAAACTCTGGACGTCCAGATCGTTGCAGCTCAAATCTAAACTCTCGCACGCATCCAAATTCAGCCGCAGATTTTTATTGAAAAACAACCCGAATACTGATTTGGTGAACTCTACGCTACAAAGGTTCAAAGACTTCAGTTTCAGGTGTTTTGTGATGGTCGATATGTGTTTGAAACTTTCGTTGGTCAATGGATTGAAACTCAGATCCAGGTCGTTCAAATTGTAGAGTATAGGCTTTTGCGATGATTCCTCTAGAATGTTAGCCAAGAGTTCGAGCGATTCCACTTTTAAATTGTTCAAACTTAAGTTCAATTTGGTCAGGTTATCCAAAGTTGACAAGGACTCGCACAGCAGGTCGATGCATTTGGGTGTCATGTAGTTTCCCGTCAGGTTCAACTCAAATAGATTCTTCTGTCGGTTGATCGCTTTGCAGAGCGGTATCAGATGCACTCCGAGATGTTGATCCTTTAAATTTAAAACTGTCGAGGATGAATCCAACAAGTCGAATAATTTCTTATTACAATCTAAACAAAAAAAGAAATGATTTATATTGAAATAACATTAAATTATCATAATATAGTTATACCTTTTTTAAGGGTTGCGCAGGAATCTTTATATCGTTCTTGTATTGGTGGTATATTCCATTTGATGACTTTACCTAACACCTCTTCGCTAGTAGTTACCCCGAAAGGAAACAAAATACTGATCAAATCGTCCTCACAGAGCATCGCTCCATTGTTTGTTTCCAACTCGATCACTGGTTTTATCGCTTCCTTCTTGTAAAACCGATTCATTGCTTCGTTAGACAACCATTTCACCGTCAACGTTTCCAATTCTGCGATCGGAACAGGAATCCTAAAAAGCTTTCCTTCGATCCGCACATCGACGAAGAGCATCTGCTTGATCTTAGTTTCCACCTGTGAGGCTGGCATTATACTGCCCGTTGTCGAATCAGGTTCTTCGAAATTAGATTTTTCCAGAATTACATTATGCTTGCTCCGAGAGAACGTAGGAACTGGACTTTGGCTTCTATCGCTATCGAACGATTTTGGGCTGGAGCTCCGTCTCCTCGTGAACCCCGCAGTGATGAGCGTGGTCTGCGATTTTCTTTTCATCGACGACAATCCAAACTTGCTGGAGCTGCTTTTCTTGATTGAACACTGTGATGATATGTCTTTGCTATTTTGCGGTTGAGATAATTTTGAATTTAGTGTATTCATTAGTTTGTAGGATTCCGATGTCGGATTCTGGGTTAGTTTTCGCTTTTTCACGGAACTCCCGAGATCGTCTTCCAGCCAATCATCGCCCACTTCGTTGGGTTCGAGCAGCGCCGATCGTTTCAGATTCAGCGAAGATCTTTTCCTCGGTAGCAATTCGCTGTTTGAGCTAGACCGCGTTCGAAGGTTACTTATTGTTGTTTTGTAGACTTCAGTGGCATTTCTGGGCTGTAAATCATCATCGAAAAATGTCGGCGAATCCTCGTCTATCAAAGTGTACGCCTTATTCTCTTTGTTGCTGATTACATCTGCCGTGCTTTGACCTGTCCTTTCCAAAGCGCTGGTAATTCTGTGAACTATTGTCTCGAAGTATGTCTGCTCGATGGGATCCAAGTCAACTCTTTGCCGCCAAGACCTCAATGTTTGCAACGGGGTTTCACCTTCATCTGTTTTAGCTACTGCAGAAGCTCCATTGTCCAGCAAATATTCGATGACCTCCAGATGGCCATTCGAAGCTGCATCATGCAACGGCGTCATACCTGAAACAAATCTGTTATAACTGAAAATCCTTAAATATTTATTAATTATTTACCTAAACATTTGGCTCCACCCCTGTCGTTGATTAACGCTCCCTTTTGAACAAGCATCCGGACTATTTCCAAGTGTCCACAAATACATGCCTCATGTATTGGTAACCATCCACAGTTATCTCTAATATTTACCACGTGTCCTTGATCCAGTAACTTTTTAACAAATAACTCTTTGCCCGCAATGCAGGCTGTATGCAACTGAGTTTCTCCTTTAGCATTTCGCTTGATCAGTAATCCATTCTTCCTTTTCCTCGTTCTCGGTTTAGTACAAACTTCTTCATTATCGCTCTCATCAGAGAGATCTTAAATAACATATAAAATTATAATAAACTTATATTCGCTTTTCAAATAAATCTAACATACCTGTGATGTTATCCAAATCAATATCATCTCCGATATTTTGCGTGACGCCAACTTCTTCAGATTCGCTGTCCGAAGAAGGAGTGTAGTCAACCTCTTCGAGATCCGCTTCAAGTGCATTCGCCTCTTCAAATCTATTGTGTTTCCTTAGTATACCAATCAACCTGTTAAGCACTTTTCCCTCCATGTGTTTGTCATTAGCTTCCATGGAATGCACACGCGCTTTGTTCAATTCAATCACAATATCATCCACTTTTGCATTCAACAATTCCATTAACTCAACAATATTGAAGAGAGTGTGAAATACTTCACTGGGGTTAGCTTTCAACAAGTCGTATTCTTTTCTGAAAAATTTTAACGCCAAATCGAACTTTTCATCATCCATGTAGGTCTGCGCCAAAGAGACATAACAAGCGCTCAATTCTTTCCCGCTGTCACCATTGCTTTCGGCAGTTTGCAACATTTTCTGATAGTACTCTATGGCTTTCGCATAAATCTTTAACATGGAAGCTCCATCTCCCATTTTTTCAAATAATTTCTTTCTCTTTGCATAATCTGTTTCGCTTGTTACCAGCAACTCGTCTTCAGTGTAACACATTGCAGCCACTGAAATTACAGAATTATAATAAAAAAAATCAATTGAAAATATCAACAAAAACATACCAACTTTCAAATTATTTTCTAACGTTGTTTTGTCTATAGCGTTGATCCCTTTTAGTTTATATGCCTTCAACAGGACCATTTTTGCACCATTGAAATCATATAGTTTTATTAAAATATCAGCTTTACTAACTAAAGCTGCACCAATTAATGATACTTTATCATCTAGCAAACCTGCAACTTGCATAGCAAGATTGTAATGATTTATGGCTGTGCTGTAATCCTTCATATTGCAATACAAAGATCCCAGCAAACTGTATGCCCTCTCTGTATGTACATAAATATCATTGGCCTTGCATATAGTCAAAGACTTTTTGAGTAGGTCAATCCCTGCTTCATAATTTCCTAATTGCTCCTGTACTACACCTAGATTAGCAAAAAGCCTTGCCATCATGTCCATATGTTCAAATTTGTTAATTCCTGTTAAACTAAAATATATATATATTTACTATATATTGAAATATTGTATGAAGAAGAAATTAAATACCTTTCACATATTTTCAGGCTTCTCAGGAAACACTTGTTTGCCAACTCCAAAGCTTGTTTATTTGATTCACTTTCACCACTAGTAATGTAAGATGTTAAATAGGTATGCCCAATTGTTGCCAGTGCTCTTTGCTGCTCCAATTTATCATCTTCCTTCATAGACACACTCAGATGAATCTCATGGTGTTTCAGAGCTTTATTAAATTCATATATCTCCATATACGCTTCACCAATGTTCCTATTAATACAACCATATTCAACATTCTTCTCTTGGATATGATATATGTCAGCTGCAATTTGGTACTCATTGATAGCTGCTTGGTAATTTTCTTTTGAACTATACCATGCAGCCAGCTCTATACACACTTTAGCTAATTGGGTCTTGTTCTCCTCGCTCTCCGCTTTTCGTTTCTTACTCAATAATTCTAAAATAAATTTAATTTAATAAAATTAACTCGTATTATTCACACATGACAACACTATTTACTTTGCTCCTCCATTTCAAAATAGAAAACATAACCTGGTAGCAATATGCGCCAATTTTTCGTAAAAACAGGTTATACGTTGAAGCTCCATCTGTTTAGATTTTGTAACACTCGTAAGCATATTAGGCATCCAAATATACACGTATTAGTTAATTAATTTAAAATAAGGATTGTAATCAAATTAATAAATGGGATTATGTAGCAAATATATATAATTTATTTAATTACGGTTACGAGTCTGAGGGAAAACCCCAAACTTTTAATGTTCCAGCATCCCTTTTCCTGTCGTACGTATCCTTATCGTCACAAGCGTAAGCCAAAAGGTATTGCGAGGGGTGCCAGGCTACAGTGAAAGTAGCTGCATCCACAGAAATATCAGCAATTTTATCGCCAGTCTCGGTAAATCCAATATCGATGATCAAATCTTCGGATGCAGACGCTAACAGTTGACCGTCGTGACTGAATGATATGGTACGCACCGGCCAATCCATTCTGCAAGTTTTTAAGAATTTCAATTAATAATTTGCCCGACTATAAAAGATTGGTTTAATTTACCTCGTAAATACTTTTTTACAAGCCAATTCGTTTATATCCCATAAGGACACTAAGGCATCAGCACTTCCAGTAGCAAAATATTTTCCAGTTGGATCAAACTCTATGCATATGCAGGTGCCTGGATGCGCGTTCAAAATATGCTGCAATTCCAAATCTGGATAACTAAAACCCAAAATCCAAATTAATTTACATAAACCAATTTCATTTGAATATGTACCTTAAAATGTGTATGCAGCCTTGTCCATTAGTTAAAAAGAATAGATCACTCGTGTTGTTCCAAGAAATCTCGTTCACCTCAAAAGCATATTGCTCCTCAGTTTTTATTTTATTCGTCTTTGTGTCTATGAAAGTCACCAAATCCTCTTTATTACCAACAGCTATTGTCTCGCCATTTGGAGCCCAAGTTATGTTGATGTTTTCCCCCTTCGTTGGTATAACAGCAACGCTTTTCGATTGCCGTGTGTCCCATATTCGAACAGTCTTATCGCCACTCGCTGTGCTTAGAAGATTGGGATTGGTCTGGTGCCAACACAGTTGATCCACAGAACCTCCATGTCCTTTGAAAACAATTTCTTTTGACTAAAAAAAAATAGAACATTTCATCAACTGATATATTTTACAAAAAACAATAAAGAAAACTTACTATTGTGTCCTTTTGCAGGACATGAATGCAAACTGATTTGTCGAAAGAACCTGAGGCTAGTCTTCTTCCATCGCAGCTCCAACCTACAGAATGCACTTTAGAAGAATGCCCTGGATATACTTTGTACTCGCTGTGCGATTTGAAATAACGTTGGAACTCTTCAATCTTCTCAGTATACATCTTTATTGTTTATTTCACTATGCACATTAATAGCATTAATAATAAATTGTTGATTTTTTTTACAGGTTATGTTTATAAAATATGAAAGGGTTATCACTTGGCGCCCTCTGTTATATATTTTTATGATGGATAGGCAACCATACAACTACTAATTTTATTTAAATATTAAACATTTAAAGTGTGGCTGTTAAACCCGAAAGGGGTAGAAATAGGGCCGGAGAGATTTGTGTCAATAAATAAATTGATATAAATCTCTTAAACTTAAAAAAAAAACATTTAAAGTATACTTTATTTTATTAACTAATCATTTCATATTACGTTAACATCTATTAGTATTAAATTAATGTTTTAAGTAATGTAATTTATACAAAATTAAATTCATATAGTTACTAATAAAAACTGTAGTAATTATTTTAATTTGCAATAAAGTTAGTTATAAACATTTATAGATTAAACAAATCATTGCGGATACTTTTTAACGTTTTTTTATTTTTATTATATTAGTAATATATCAGTTGGAAGGAAATGGTGGTGAGGAGAGATTAGATAAGGGAAATAATATTAAACAAACTTGTGTTATAGGTAGTTGAAGTTGTGATAAAAAATGGAGAGGAATATGGGCGTAAATGGTCCTCCGCGGATCATCGAAGTTATTCCAAAGAACACGAATGTTGTCCGGTTAAGTCAGGAAGATGATGACGAGGAAACGTACGATAATGTCTTTTATTCGGCGGAAGTTGAAGGACCACACGAAACGCAGGTAGAACCTGCGATCGATAACTTTTCCGATGAGGACGATTTCCCAGATCAATTCCATGCAGCCATTGATCCGAATTCGTTAAGAGATCAATACATGTACAACGAATTTGAATCCAATCTGGTCGGACGTATGCAAGGTAAACAATACTGTAGACTTCCTAGTAACAACATGATTCAGAAGTTGTTATTATACAAAGACAGGAAGTTAAGAGTAAATTATTACTTGGTTTATTTAAATAATCTATTGATTTTTGTAAAATCTTATTGGTTTAATTTTCTATTTTTCAAGTAAATTAAATACTTTGTAACTTTATTAGATGATGATAAATTGTATGTATTTTGAATGAAACTTTTCGACTTTAGCATGACTAAGTCTTAATATTTTTCGCGTGAAAAGTTGCTAATTTCCTCGAAAGAGGTGGTGGTAAGTTCTTCATTTAAACTTAAGCTTAACTGCTTAAAGTGTTGCGGCTTCAATTTAAAACAACCTTCACATCTGTTATTGCCAGATGCTAGTTCGATTCTGAAAATGGCGACGTTGAGGCCTAAATCCCCGAAACCTGGAAATCAAGGAAAAACCGATAAAGAGGAGTCGATATGGGATAAAATCGGGACTCTGGGACGCAAGAAAAGGATCAAGGAAGGTAAATATATTCTTAAATAGGCTCATTCAATTGATAGAAAGAAATTAATCTGACGTCATACCTTATTTGGGAGCTATATTTAAAGAAAACAAAGTGGGCTGTGGCTGCAGATGTTCTAAAGTTCTGTAATATTTCATTATTTTGCAGTTCAAGAAGTTCAAGCTGAAGGCAGACATGCAATCGATTCACCAGGAAATCCTACAGCACCAATTATTCCACCAGAGGAATATGAACTGGGTATGTTGCATGTATAATCCATGGAGAACATTATTGATTATTTTTGTTTTGTAGATGATAATGAGGAAAGGTGCATGCTTGAACCAAGAGCTTATGATGATCAGAAATTCATTCACTTGATTAAAGTGTTGATTGATTGGATCAATGATGAACTTGCATCCCAGAGGATCATTGTGCAAGATCTGGCTGAAGATTTATATGATGGGCAGGTTCTGCAGAAACTGTTGGAGAAGCTGACTGGAGATAAGTTGGATGTCAGGGAAGTCACTCAATCAGAGGAAGGACAAAGGCAGAAACTGAATGCAGTCCTGAGCCATTTCAATTATGTGCTGGGGATGCACAGAACTGGGTCAAAGAAATGGAATGTTGAGGCTATTCATTCAAAGAACATTGTTTCAATCATGCACCTTTTGGTTGCACTGGCTAGACACTTTAGACCTCCGGTACGTCTGACTGAGCAGGTCAGTGTACCAGTTGTGATTGTACAGAAAGTGAATGGAGTTCTTGTGCACAGAACTGTTAATGAAATTATAACCACAGCTTATGATGATGTTGGCATGAGGTGTGAAAGGGATGCTTTTGATACATTGTTTGACCAAGCACCAGAAGATATTATAAAAGTCAAGAAGGTATGTGGTATGAAAATAATGTAAACATTTGTAATATGAAATATTTTAGAGTCTGGTGACTTTTGTCAACAAGCATTTGGTTAAAATCAACCTAGAAGTCACCGAATTGGAGACGCAATTCCATGATGGAGTATATTTAACATTACTCATGGGTTTACTGGAAGGATTCTTTGTGCCATTGCATAGTTTCTATTTGACTCCTGGAGATTTTGATCAGAAGGTACACAATGTCTCATTCGCGTTTGAGCTGATGGAGGAAATGGGTTTCACGAAATTGAAAGCCAGACCTGAAGGTAACAACTTGATGCTCATTTAATATTTAATTAATTAATATTTCGTTTTAGACATAGTCAACCAAGATTTAAAGTCGACACTCAGGATTTTGTACAATCTCTTCTGCAAGTACAAATGAGTAAAAGATTTTGCAATGAGAAAAGGACCATTGATGCCTTAGAAACTGCCTTATTAATTTTTAACAAATAATTAATGTATACACGTATTAAATGATTTTAATAAGGCGCGGCGCCTAACGTTAGTTGTTTACTAATTTCTATTCTATTAAATTATTAACAAATTTATTTATTTCCATGTTTTGAAGTCAGTTTACTGTAAGCAATTTTAATATAAATAAAAATGTATGTATTTTATGATAGTTACATTATGTATTTATTTTTGAAACCTATACATTAATCAATATAAAAAATTACAAAAAAAAAATTAATGAGAGTTGAATGAATAGTCCGTTTCTTTACATATTTATTCATTTCTTGATAAAAATTTAAGTTGTAAGTTGATAATAGTACAAACTGAATGATCTTTCGTTTTCAGCATAGCCTCAATTTTATGTAATATAAAAACAGAGCAAGTAATTACTAATAATAGTAGAATACACAACTATTTTATTGTTCGCTTTTACCACATGTAAAATAATAATAACTCTTGACCAAAACAGCTTGATCGACAAACAGATTCACTTAAATTGTAATGTGTGTTCAAATTGACGTAAATTACTATAAAAACATGAAATTATTAAAAAAAAAATAATAATAAACATATATATATATAACTACAATTCATTTCGTTCGATATTTAAATAAACTCTTCTGGTTCTCTGGGAGCATCCAAATCTCGGTACTGCACCAACGTTCTGTAGTCGGTCCCACTGTTTCCTCTGAAACGAAAAAACACAATGTATTAAATAAAAATAAATGCAAATTGGAGAAAGTTAATTTTATGAAATGTAACTCACCTAGATCTGGGATGGAAACCACCACCACCTCTTGGACGCTGCGCATACGAATTATATCTGGATGGCATACCACCGTAACCATATCCACCGTAAGAACTGGAATAGCTTCTGAAATGACATCATTAATAAATATATAAGCTCATAAGTGAAATAATTTAAACTTACGAAGGATGTGGATAAGCTGCAGCTTCTTCCCGCTTCGGCTGGGGAGTTTCCGCCAACATGGGTCTCTTTGTGTCTTTCAAATAGTTGTTGAAAAATTCAACGTCTTTCTTGACTTCCTCAATCTTCTCAGCGTGTTTATTGAAAATGTGTTTTCTGACGAAGTCGGGTCCCTTGAACTTTTTACCAGAAAGAGGACACAACCATTTATCTTTCGAAAGTTCTCTAGTGTTGGCCTGGACAAAATTATCTATTTCAATATAGACGTCCTTCAGAGACAACTCTATTAATTTCGCATCGTTCTTAACGACGTCATCCTTGGGCGGCTTTTCCGGTAGGAAATTCACCATCTTCAATTCCACAGGGGGACCAATGAATTGCGAAATATCGGTCTTCGCAGTTGGGGGTGGTCCACGAGCGTGCAGAATACCGCATCTGTTTGGCATCTCATCTTCGTTTGGATATTCGCAATGGTTATAATAGTCTACGGAGTGAACGATACGCAAGTAGTAAACAATGCGGTCCAAGACGGATAACAGATTTTCATCCCTTTCGACGGTAGTCGTCGCATCTTGGGCATCAGCGGACGGTTCCAATCCCAATAGCTCTTCTTCCTCCGCGCTAGCCTCTTCGATCAGATAGTCCGTGATATTGTGAAGCACTGGATTGTTCGAAACCAGTCCAAAAGTTTGCGCTGGCTTCTCCTTATCTTCCTCGTCAGGCCACAAACCCGATTTGCTATCGAGATGCAACACTACTTTAGCACAAATGCGAATATCAGAACGCACCACCTGCTTGTGCGAAGTGATTCCATTCACTTGTCTGATCCGCCTACTAAGATCCCTGTTCACAATAGCTCCCAATTCGCAATCTCTCAACCGAATGTTATTTAAATTCCAGCAAATCTCCTTGATATTGGCGTCCCTTTTAAAAGTTACCCATCCGCGTCTAAGCCATCTTCGTTCTGGCTGAGGATCCGCCAACGCCACTCTCAGGAAACCATCGTATCTCGCACACATAGCTTCCACCTCTTGTCTCGTGATGGTAGGTGCGAGATTACGCAAGAAGATCGAAGTCGTTTTATGAAGAGACTTAGGCTTATCGTGTTTCTCCTCTGTCTTTTCTACGCTTTCCTTCTCCGGCTCTGGTTTCTCCTCCTCTTTCTCAGGTTTCATCTTTTCGTCTTCCGAATCGCTGCTACTGCTAGAAGAACTGCTGCTGCTCCCAGAAAATGAACGTTTGCGTTTCTTTTCTGCAAAGTAAACAATGAAAACATTAAATCAAGTATATCAAGAAATTTATAAATAATTTACCTTTTTCTGGCTTAGCTGGTTCAACCGTTTCATTCTCAGTTTTCTCAATGTCTGAAGCGATTTCTTCAGCTTTAGCTTCTTCATTTGTCGTTTCTTCAACATCCATTTTCTCTGCATCCTGTTCTTCTTCCATTTTGTCCTCAGATTCGGATTCTAATTTTTCTTTCTCTTCAGTGGGTTCTTTAGATTCTTCCGTAACCTCACCTTCTTTATCTTCGTCAACATTTGTCTTAGTCTCAGCCACTTCATCTTCGAGCTTTTCTTCGGATTGTTTCTCCTCAACTTCGCCTTCCTCCTCTTGACTAGCAGCATTATTAACATTGACATCGTCCTTCGTTTTTTGTTGTTGTTCCACTTTATTTTTCTCCAATTCTGTAACGAACAAATTAATTACAACTCAAATAAAAGATGTTTTCTCTAAACATCAACTAACCAGCATATTCTTCTTCCAATAACGAAATATCTTCATCAGAACCTCCTTCCAATTTAATGACAACTGTATCAAGCAGTTTTATAAGCTCATCATTATTTGCACTGTCTATACTAACTTGGCTCAACTTCCCGGAATTCATTATATCTAAGAATACTTCAACACGTTTCTAAAATAAAAATTAGTATTTAATACATATATTTACTGCATTGCAAAATTTTGCGATTATACCTTAAGAGCTTTCATTTGTTCTTCCTTCCTCCGAACAGAATCTTCCGGGTGATATTTAAAACGGAACCTTAAAGCAAACAAATAAAAGAATTACATACAATGACAAAAAGCACAACGGATGCACAATCAAATATCAATTTATAGAGATACATATTTAAAATCCATTCACACCACTCTGACAAACACGTGATATCGGGTGATTTGAATGTATATATTCTGCATATTGCAAACAAAATTACAACAGTTCATTTATAAAATAATCATCACTCATTCGGCTAAAGACATACTATGAAAATTATTATTTTTTTTTTAGAAATAAAAACAATCAAAATGTAAACGTATCTCCTTAAACGTTCATCTCACCTGTTTGGTAAATACCCTAACAAAGTATCGCGAAAAGCTTATGCATTGCGCGCATAGCTTTATGATAAACGGTTTATTAAGTAAATATCCACATTAGTATATGTTTCATATAATACATATTTCACAAGTTTTACTCAGAAGTTGTACACGCACATTTTATACACGTAATTATATTTTTTTGTGTGTAGCTGACAGGATCTCTCGAATCAATGCTGTAGAGAAAAAGGTTTATAAAACAATGTATTTTAAGGGGACCATTAATTATCATTATTAATTTCAGAAATTAAAACCAGAACCTCGATTTTTTTTTTCATTAATTTTAACGTGAAGGTTCGTCTTTTTTTTTTCTTCTTAAATCTATATTTTAAGGGTTTTTAGTACTAATAATAATAACAATAGCTTTCATATTAACTGACTTACCATTCATCCTCTCTATGTGCAAGAAAGAATTCATTCAACTGTTGTCTCTGGAATTCCAGTTTATAATCATTATACTTTTTGATCGCCTCATTGTCTGTAATATTATCATCTTGGTTCACAAGAAATGCTTTGAATGACATCATCGGTGGTTGTTGGCCTTCCACAGTTGTTGGTGGTGGTTCTCTAAACATTCAAACAATTATTTAGTCCATATTATTTACAATTGTATTACGATTATTTACATTTGTAACTGTCAATATTATGATCAGTATTATTACCTTATATTTCATATAAATATCAATTATAAACTTTTATATAACCTCAAATGTTTCAGTTTGGAAAATTAGAAAATAATTTTGTTTACTAATTAAATAGATATATCCAAATATGATATAATATAATCATAAGCAACATTAAAAATTATCCTTTGTGTTAACTTTGTACAATATAATTAAGCATTTCCATGAAAATAAGAATAATTATATTTCTTTATGTTATTATGTTTAAAGGAATTGCCAAACAATATAGCCACTCCCATTAAACAAACACTATGTTAAGAAATTACAATATATTAATTAAAAAATGAAAAAAATTATGTAGAAAATAAAAATAAGTCTTTTTCCAGTCGAGAATGATAATGACTTGATTTCATATTGATTGTAATTAAATCTGAATTTGGTATAGAAGAAAGTTTTATATACTTTCTAAACATAGTTATAAATCTTACCTATGTTGTGGCTGATGATATGAGGGATAATGGCTGTAAAAATTGTCACTGTAGTAGTCATTTCTGAGCCTTTTGGCAGTCGATTCAAAACTTGGAGAGTATCCTCGATCCCTGATTCGTCCAGGGTAGTCTCTGGGTCTTGGACGTGACCATTCCCTACGATCAACAAAATTAACAATAATATAAAGATAATTACTTGCTAAAAATAACAGTACCTTTCATGCCAATCTTCTCTAGGTCTTACAGGTCTCTCTGCACCTCTATAACTTGCCTCAGCGCGTTCTCCCCTGAACTTATCGCGTCTCTTGTGATCGTATTCATCATCACTATCACCCATTTTCTATAATCACAAGAATTTATTGCTTGAATATATAAAGGATGCCAAAGATGACGTTTGAGTAAAAATACGCAACTTGTGTACAAGTTGTAACAAATAACTAAAGTTAAATACAGAAATAGTCTTCAAACCTTAGTTGAAGAGGTAAAACACTGAATAAATATCAATATTCAAACACAAGCTATTTTACACAACTGAACCAGAAAGCAACGATAATTATGGATGACGCCACCACACGACCAATTGATTGCGCGTTAGTGATTCAGTTTTACCAACAGCAATTTATCTAACCTTATTTCAATCATTACTACTCAATTTACATCTATATTTTCATACGTATATGATAGAAATTAACAACAAGTTACTTATAATTATATATAATGTATAATGCCCAAGTAATACATCGTTTAAAATATATTTTTGATAACTATAATGTGTGTAGTGTGGTGTGTGTAGTTAAGTTTACATTAGGTCTACATATTTTTTTTTAATATTGGTATTCGTGTTAAAAATATAACCTCAAAAACAACAAACAAGTTATTTCTAATCACACGTGCCGCAGTTTCATTCAAAACACAAGATGCCCAAGTTGAAGAAGCAACGTAAAAGGAAGAAGTACCAATACAATATTAGCAGGAAAAGGCTAAGAAACAAGTTAAGTGGAAATGGTGCTGTTTTATGGTAAGTTAATTGTTTTGAAAATTATTTTGCATATGACTTGAGCTTCTTATTTAATTGTAGCAAAGAATTAAAAGAGTCATGGGACAGAAGGAAGTCTGTAAAGAATAACATGCTGAGCATGGGATTGGCTTTTGATCCCAATGCGACTATCAAAATAGAGAAAACCAGAGGCAAACTGACCGACTTGTTTCAAGGTGATGATGCAAGCAGTGAAACAAATGTACCAGAAATCCCTGCTGAAGATATGAAACTAGAGGTATTGGAGAAATTGAAGGAAGATGCTTATGCACCCAGAAGGAAAGCATTTAGATTACCAAACACACAAGTGGAGTGGTGCAGTTATCTATTGAATAAGCATGGGTTAAATTATCATGCTATGGTCAAAGATAGGAAAAATTACAATCAGGAAACTTGGAAACAGTTGCGCATCAAGATTAGGAAGTTTCAGCAAATCCCAGAACAATATGAACCATTCCTTGAGAAGTATGGACATTCAGCAGATAAATTTGTTGAAAGTGAAACAAATAAAGATTGATACTATTGTACATAATAATATTTTGTAATTATGAATTTGCAAAATGTTTGTATTTAAGTTTTCTTTTTAAATATATTTAGTGATTTTTCTGTATAAAAATGCATTTCCCTACATCCCTTTCTATTCAAATATTTCGTTATCTGTTGCTAACTTCAAACCTGTGAATGAATCATAAGTGAATTACTTAATTCAATATAATGAAAATGTGTTGTTTATAACATTTAAAGCGTTGTATTTCTTTGGGTAGCGAAATGTCGAAGAAAAAGAAACCCTGGAAGAAAATATTGTACGAGGATCAGGGCTATCCAGACTATTACACAGATCAGACTTTCCTTTGGGAGCTGAAACGAAACACCAAGTTAAAAGCTATCAGTCTGCATGAAGCAATATTAGAAGTATCAGTAGTGGTTCAGGAATTATGTGCTGTGATAATATTTGCCTTAATTTACGTGTTACTGCATGAGCAGCGAATTGACCCAGCAGTAACATTCTATACAATAAGTGCTCTGAGTTTGGTTTGTTTTCTGGTTTACAGGAAATTCCTCAGTTCTGATATGACAAATGCGTTGGGAAACGATATCCGAACGCTTCTTATATTCCTTGTTTTTGGACAGTTGTTTTCACCTGTACTGCACACTTTAACAGACACCATAAGTACAAATACCATTTACATGATGACCTTTTTTATGATGCTTGTGCATTTAATATTTTTTGATTATGGAGTACCTGCAGCCATTGTATCCAATAGTTTGTCACTTAGCGCAGCTGTCTTTGCATCAATATGCTTAGCGTCAAGGCTGGCCTCAGCCTATCATGCATTTGTCTTGATCACAATTGCCATTGAAATATTCGTGTTATTTCCACTGCTCAGAAAGAAGTTTGGCAGATCAATTGTGATGTGTTCCATTTTAATACTTGTTACAATTGGTTTGTTGCAAGTGATTTCACCATTGATGAATGTGTGTTTCGTGATGTCTGTAATATTTATAAACTTCATATGTCCATTTCTATTTGTAAAGAATCAAAGTTTTAAAGATAATATTTATGGTCCATGGGACGAAGCTGTTGTTCATGATGTTGATAGTGTTTATGATTTAATATATTCATAATAATATTGTTGAATTGTTTAATAAAAAAATATTTTGTAATAAAGTATTTAATTAAATTGTAAACAGAAAGATTAATACACCAGTTAAAAATAACATTTACAAAATTATTTCTCATTTCACTGGAACAAACTGAATGAGTCTCTTGATTTTTCTCAGAAGCACTTCCAATAGACCAATATCCGATTCCGAACGACCCTACAATTAAAACAAATTAATTAGACCAAGTTCTATAAATGAGAAATCAAGTAGTAATTACCCGAGAGGTTTCAATTAATTGACGGCAGAAACTGTCGTTGAAGATGGACACTAGTCCTTGTTTTAAGTTGCTTATGTCATCTGTGGAGACTTTCCAAACGGCTTCTGAGGCTGAGGCCAAAGTTGCTAAAAAATATGTATATTAATAAAAAGTTATATCGTTTGTGAATTTAAGAACTTACAGTCCATGTTGAAGCTGCTGGATATATGTAAACCATAGTTATTGGCTTTCGGAATAGCCCTTAGCATATAATAATCTAAATGCGCCCAAATTATGTAAAGACCATGTTCGATAATCAGGGAACAATGGTCTATGTCGTGTTTCTTCATGTTCAAACGTTCGACGATCGATTGCAGTGCTTCTTCCCGCAACATAGAAATATCGTAACTGTGCTGCGGTGCATATTCCTTCAAATCCACTGTTCCAAGTTCTGGTATCTCAGTCCTTTTCCTCATCAAGAAGTTCAAAGTGGCTTTTTCCTTGTGGTAGTAAGATACCGTATTCAATAGATTGTGCACGACTACACCCAGCGATGGTACATGATCAACGTACTTTTTGTTCCTCTGGTTACCATTCAGACCGACAAGTGCATCATTCAAATTAGGCTGGAAGACAACGCCGACACTGCCATGATCGATACCGTGGTTCTTGATTATACTTCTGGAGTATATCTGCAGATTACCATTGATTTCCAAAGCTCTGGAAAGGCGTTCCGACGTTTGGTAGGTGACCTGTTCGTTCGAAGGATCGCAGAGCAACTCGCGAAGATTATTCTCGCTCAGCACAAATTTGGGGATGAGATTTAGCATCAGTTTCTGTATGCGGAGAAGATGTGCGCTATTGTCTTGCGGAGTATCCATAATATCCATCACGTTAACTAAATCGTTGTTCGCCGTCCTCGCAATAATAGACGTTAACAGGGACAACTCCTTCAAACCTTCAAGGCTTAGATAGCAATTTCCTGATCTGAGTACCAGCTCGATCACATCCAGATGGCTGAGCATGAAGTTCATAATTTGCACCACCGCAGTTTTATTCTCTGTCCCTAAACTCGTCAGAATTGCGTTGCACAAATGCAACGTTGGCTCCCATATTTGCAAATATCTCGTTTCCACGGGTAAAGCGAATATTTCGCTTTCATCGGTTTGCAGATGTTTGCTGAGTTCTGGATGGAAGTCGAAAACTTTCATGCTTGCAAAAACGGATAATAATTTTTGCTCCAACAACAATTCCGATCCTACTCTCGTTGTGGCAATTCTTAGGAGAAAAGACATCTTGGCCTCGTATATGTAGATTGCCTTTATATTCTCCGGAGACGGTTCCAGTGTCGCACGCAAATCTGAATCACTCTTCAAAATACCATCCACTATGTGCTTCAGGTATCCTCTTCCGGCAGCATATGAAATCCAACTAACGTTTCCGTTGAGTCCAATCAGAAGGCCAAAACAGGACATGGCGAGCATCTTGCAAATATCGTGACCACCTGTGCAATCGTAGCATAAAACTTCGATTAACTTATCCGTGAATACTGTGAGGATGCTGGATGTCACGTGTATGGAAGTGATCTCATCCTGGATACGATATTTCGAGCTGTCCAGGCGGCTTACGTACATACTATCATCCACGTTGCTTTCCGACTTGTTCTCCGCCAGATTAATCAATTGCAAGAATATCGCTAGAGCTCCGTACAAATTAATCCGCAACTTTTGCGACTTGCTGTCCGACACTATGATCCACTCTATTATATAAGAGATTATTCCTTTCATCGAGGATATATTCAATTCTAGCATACTCTTGTGCGTGTCCTTTTCAAAATCTTTGCTCAAAGCATTGTCGATCTTCTCTTCTCTTATGTGACATTTCCTCAAGTTGTCTAATAACAAAGCGACTGTACTCGATAGATACTTGGCCACTTCCGGCAACAGCATAACTTTAACAGCTTTCTGCAGAATATTTTCCAATAAATACAGCTGCAACAGTACTTGTTCCTTCGCTGATATAATTTCGTTAGGCAAGTATGTGATCAGAACTTGAACGACTTGCCTCCAGCCATCCACAAACTTGGCAATACCAACAGCCGTTTTCCTATTGTTGTTGATATTCACGGCGTGCAGGAGCACCTTTTGTATTTCATCAATCATAGCTTGTCTTTGACCCAAAGCGGTTGATCCCTGGGCCGATGTGATTTCCTCGATTAAATTCCTGTGCAATCGTTTAATATCGATCAACTTCGGACTTCCTTCTGTTTGGCAGGAGGCCAAGTAGTTCTCCAAAGAATTGTGCTCGAAAAATCCCCATTGCGGCGCTATAACTTCAGGTACGTTAAAATCGAAATCTTTGATTAATTTCACCAAAAAGTTATCATGTTTCAGCCTATCGATGGACATCGAATAATTGCTCATTGAGGACTCATTTACCTTCTGGATCAGTGAGTACGAGTCCGATTGCATGATTTGATCATTCGGTAAACCGACCAGTAAAGTGGTCAATTGTTTCAGGTGAACAATTTGCTTCGTGCAACAAGCAATGCGCAGTTCGATTGCTAACGTTTTCAGGATCCACGAAAGTTGGTTAAGCTGATGAATTCCTTCATTGTAATGTCTGACACAATAATTGATGTGATCTTTGAAGAAATTGGGCTGAGTTCGGAGGAATCGCAGCACTGGATCGGCTGTTTTTGTGTTAGAGCACAGGCAATAAATCATGTGATAGGCGGATTCTACCAAAGCCGTATCACTCTCATATCCATTATAGACGGTTTGCCTCAATATCGTTAATAGAGAATGTATACAAGTTCTCGGGAATTTCATCACTCCTGGTAATTGGAACTGAGTCTTCGATACGTTCTTCTGCAAATCGAATCCTAATAGGAAATGGCTCAAATTGGGAGAATTATAGTTTAAGCATTGCTTCAGCAGACATAAAATGGATTTCTTCGTCAATGCAATCGCCTCGTTCTCCTCATCGGTAGTCTGATCCAAGCAATCCACGAATCCATTTCGAATGGTCTTATCCAAGTCGGTGTTCGATAACAAAATGTTCATGATCTGTGTATGGGTCAATGCAGAACTCGTTAACAAAATCAATATTTTTACAGCCAGTAAACTTTGAGCCGGCACACAATCCTGATATCTCAAATACTTCATAATATTCAGGATGTGGTCAGGACGTCCGCTTCTCGGATTAATAGTCAACAGGAGTTTGTTCATGTTCACCAAAAGCACATTGTAATTGGATGTGGTCAGTAGTTGGAAAAATGTTGGCTGCAGAATCAACGATCTCTCGATAATCTTGAACACGTACAAAGTGGCTTCACCAATATGCTTTTCTCCCGGAAAAGAAATGCACATATCGTACAACCGATTTCCCTCGTTTATAATATAAAGAAGTGCGTTCAATAATTCCGATTTTGTATGCAGTTGCAGCATCAAATGGAATCCTGGTGGAGAGTTGCATTCGTTTGGTTTACTCACATTAGGGAAGTCACCAGCTGCTGGTTCATATTGACTTAAAAACTTTGAAAATAATTTCAGGCAAAGCGCGGCGACTTGCCATTTCTCCGTTTGATTCTTGTAACTTCGCGAATTGAACTTTAAGAAAACGGAATTTATCATGAACGTTAGGTATGGATCGAATCCTGGCTGCCTAGGGCCTGCACCCAAAGTTCTTGGAATTCCGGAATCTGTTAATACATCCATCAATACCAGCCATGCTCGGGTTAACGGATACTCTTCAATTCTAGACTCCACTTCATCCAATTCCGTCTGAATTCCTCTTGGTTGATAACTGGACGTCGTTGGAATAGTGACTAATATCTGCGACGCTTCCAAATTGTTCCACATCTGAGATGCTATTTCTGGAGACTTGCATAAAGCTGCCAAGACAGCCAATAAATCTGCTTTCAAAGGAATCGGTATGGAACAACTGATTAAGCCTAATAGAACGCTCAACGGTGCCCAACCTGGATGTTCGCACAACGCTAAACGTGAGAAGTCATCATGAGTTGCAACTTCTTTCATTAGCATCAAAACGGCATGCAATCCTTCAATTTCCTGAGGTGTAATTCCTTTATGATACATGCGGCTATGTCTGTACACGGTATCATTGCCAGATGGTGCGTCTTGCTTCAAATTGGAGTAATATTGATTGAAGGACATAAAGAAGTGATCCCACGTAAAATTGTTATTGAATCCTGACGTTTGCTTGAGCATGTTGAAACAATTCCGTGCGGCCTGTTGGCAATTGGATAAACTGGTCAGCATGGTTAAGTAGCTGACAAACAAACTGGGCGGAAGCATGTCTCCTGCTAATCTAACAAACTTGAACAGCGACACTGATCTTGGATGAGCACGATAATGTGACTGATTCTGTGTTGAATCTGTCGGACACCAATATTCCAGCATGAGTTTCAAATTGTGCGGATCTTTTCCGTACATCTTGGCTATAGCCAGCAGCAGATTTTCAAAGTATCTTGGAATGATCCCAGGAAGCTCCATTCCTTCATGGACGTAAGCCTGAATCGTTCTCGCAGTTTCATCGGCCTTTATTCTAAGCTCCTTCACTTTCGGATACATCTGCACAATGAAATCACAGAATAAGAAATGCATCCTTCTGTAAATCATCTCCTCTTCATAAAACAAATCGTTTTCCATTATTGTGTGGCATATAAATTCAAACACTTTGGAGACTATAGCGGAATCGACGAATTCATCCTCGTAGTCTATCGCGTTTTGCAATTGCTGTCCTTGTGGAACTAGCCTGAGCGAGGATAAGCACACAGCAAATGCAAATACTGCAACAGCTTGCAGCCCCTCGCACGCCCATTTCGATTTATTCGGCATTAACTCATTCAAAATAGTATTGATGTAATCTGTTTCTGATAAAATTGGGAGCTTCTTGACCAATTCTTCTCCATCTTCCCTGGAATGCAAGATGCTCAGATCAATTGCATTCAATAAGGCCATGATCAAATATAAATTCACTTTATCCAATTTACCAGATGCTTCCTCTTCCAATTTTACATTTTTCAAATGATTGATCAAAGTCACTGTGGTCTGTTTGTTTAATCCAGTTTGTCTGGACCACAGGAATATGCAGTCAGCTAGAATGACGCGAATTGATGTGTATGTATCAGTGATTTGCTTCCTGTGTTTTGGACCTCCCAGCGCTAAATTCGATTGCAACATATCAATTTCCTTAGTTAAATCCAACTTGTTGAGCAAATCAAATATCTTATTGAATAGACCATTTTCAAATAATTGATCCATCATATTGTCTATGAAGACTTGTGTTTGTTTTGGCATATTGATGCACCAGGAGATGCCACTTCTGGCTTGAATCAACATTCTCAATGTTGACACTAAATACTTTCTTCCATCATAATATAAGGCAATGGCAACAAGGCCTCTTGGAAGATCTGGATAATAAGGCATCTGGATTTGTGCAGTGCATAATAGGTCTAATGCTACATACTCATTTAAATCAAACATGTCTGATATTATGATAGTTTCCTGATATAATTCTTTGGAGAGGACTTGGTGGCCAATACCTTTAACAGAAATCCCTTCCTCCATGCCCTTCTTGAGTTCCTCTCGGCTTTTTGCATTTTTTGGCTGGAATAGGTTATGTTATTAAAATGTGTATGGATAAACAATATAGAACTATGACATACAAGGTTGTTGATCAGTGAAAAGAAACTCTGCTTATTTCTTCTCAACACATTCTCGAACTCGTTGTATATCGCTGGGTTTCTGTTTTCATCAGTTAAACATTTGTTTACTGTTTCGTATAGATCCCTGTACGGGTTCCACAAATCCTCGGATTTCGCTGAAAGATTACAACAGGTTAATTGTTAATCAAGAAATAGCAAAACTTTGAAAGAAAAACTCACAATCTGACATTTTTCACAAATCTTATTATCGTCCACTTTTCAAACTTTATTTCACTTTAAACACATTGGGCCTTTTTGGTTAAAACGACCGGCCAAAAACAAGCAACTGCCGCGAATCACTAATGCCAACAAAATATCTTACCAACTACTAGTCATTATTTCTTCTTCTTCTTCTGAATCAATCTTCTTTATGCAACCAAACCATCTTAGCTTATTAAACAAAAGTATAATACATTTAATTCTAATATATTTTCTTACATTTATTGCAATTTCATTAATTATTTTACTTATTTTTTTATATAAACGATTGTAAAATTATAACAAAATATATTAAAAACTATTAAACGTATATTTAAATGCTTAAATTACATCACACATACACAAGTCACTTATGAAATAAATACAATAAATACATACATCATACTGTATTGGATGATAATGGATTGTTTGTTGGTGGTGATGCCTGTTTGGCAATCAAAGAAACAGCATTTTGCATGACTTGATTCTTTAAGAAACCAGTTGTTACACTCGTTAAACTTTCAGATTTCCCAAATTTACATTTGATATATCCATGTAAATTGGCTCCATTCAACAGAAGTGCAATAATTACAAGCAACTAAAAAAAATATGTTTTTAAAATCATAGATCCAAACTGAATTTAAGTAATACTCACAAGCCACTTCAAATTAAGTCCAAACAAAGCACCCAAAAAGAACATTCCCCAGATAGTTGAAGTTCCAATTAGAACTAACCAGAAAATTGTGGCCTCTTTATCATTGACTCTATTCTGTTAATAGCCCTGAAAAGGGAACAATTAAAGTAAAGACTTAACAGAATAAACAAATCTTTCACCTGTCTGCATTCATACACCCAATGTGATTTTCCATCATCGTCTACATAATTCCACCATCTCAAGCCAACCATCAGCCTTCCACTTATGTTTTTCACTGTCCAAAAGTCCATGGACAATAGCAGCACTATGAAAACAAAGCTGGTGATGAAACTGTCACTGAACAGTCCACAGAACAGGTATGTAACCATGGCAGCCCCACTGAATGCCATGTGAAAAATTGTAACATAGGGATGCCTGTAAACAAAAATGTAAAAGAAAATAAACAAAAGACAATTTGTATGATTTTTTACGTCAAGGCGTCTTTTGGTGTTGCATCTTCTTCTCCGAAATCCATTGTATCATCATCTAAGAGTGGTTGCTTTTGATCAAAGAAAATATTAAGATTGACGGACTTAATTTGTAAAAAATAAAGAATATCTTACCGAAGCCATGTTGGCACATAAAACTTAATACAGCTGACAACTACTAATGACTAATGTCAATATGGAAATATTGAAGTAACTTTGGTTGCAAGCCTACAATTTAGCAATATTACTTATAATTAATTGGATATATGTAAAATTATTTAGTAAAAATACAAGTAATTAATCATATTATATTGTAGTTCTAGAAACGTTCTTACAAGTATTCCCAACAAATAGTTTATGTACTCCATCTCACGGTGTTTCTAGATATCTCTACTGTCAAGCCCGCACGTGTATATCAACATAACCTTTAAATACAATTATAATTTCAACAATGTTTGTCGTGTGTTTTTAATTCAGTGATTTAGTTTAAAGTGTATACATCATGAAGAATAAACCTTTGAGGCATAAAGCGGACAATGTCTTCAAGGTACTGAGATTATTACCTTATTTTCTTTGTAATTCCGTGCTTAAGTTAACTTAATTTCGTGTTTTAGTTTCAACGTTTCGCTGAACGTATATCGCAAATAGATGTAGATGTGGTACACAAAGTACCTCACAGGTATGAGGACCAGGAAGAGGAAGAAATTTCCAGCAATTTCCACAAAGCGATAGAAAAATGGGATTTGCTAAATTTAACAGAGAGTTATGAACTTTTCAAGAAGGAAGCAAAACCCAGAAACATTGTGACTTTACCTCAGTTGCTACACAATAAAGATCATGTTGTTAAAACATTGATAAAACATCTTAAATTTAATAATATCCTGTGTCAGCAGCCTTTGTTAGAGTAAGTGTTTTAATAATGTTTATATGTTAAAGTTGATAACTATATTGTTTTCAGAATTGTTTCAGCTGTGGCTCAGGATCTACACAATGACTTTTATGAGTATTACATAGATATACTAGACACACTAGTAGGACTACTGAAAACTAAAGAATCAGATCTTATAGAGTGGACATTTCAATGTTTAGCCAAAGTCTTTAAGATTCTTTGGAGAACTTTAGTTAAAGATATTGGAAGAGTGTTGACTACTCTATTACCGCTTCTTTCAAGCAATTATCCAGACTATATAACGGATTTTGCCGCTGAGAGTTTCGCATTTGTGGCGAGAAAAGTCAAAGATCGTAATACTTTTCTGAAACTTATACTGAAATCAATCAAACATGAAAAACAAGTAAGTTCTAATATAGCAATCTTAAACGGTATTTCTAATTTCTATATTATTTCAGGTTATTATTGGTTGTGGTAAACTGCTGTTCCAAGTGCTTCAAGGGATTGAGGGACAATTTCATAGCTGCGCAGACACATTCTTTCCGTTTTTGTTGCAATCTTTGGGTAACGAGAAATTGCCTCAAGATGAACTGTTCGAAATCCTCGAACAAATTATCATAAATATATCGGAAAACATTAAATTGGCTAAAATTGAATTGGTGTGGAAGTCTTTCAACGAAATCCTTCAAAAGTTGTTCAGCGAATGGAACGCGAAAGCTGAAGAGTCAACTTCGAAACTTATCGATCAGATCTTCACTTTGATTGGTCAACTGATCGAATTAAAACATGGAAAACTATTGCCAACGCCGTCGCTTTTGATACCGCAGATCAAAACAGTGATTGGGCTTAGCAAGTTACCTCAAGAGATTTTAGTGAAATCAATCAACATCTCGGTTCTTCTCCTACTGTCGCCTAATATAAAACTGAGTCAAGAGGAGGGCAGCGGTTTGATCAGAAAGATTTTGCTGATCAATAATGCCGATTGTTTATTGCATTTCGTTGCAAACACGTTAGATTATTCGACGTTCGAGGCTCAGATCCTACCGGTTTTCTTGAAGTACTGCGTGCAAAGTGACTTTGAGAACAAGGCGGTGCGTTTGTTGTCAAAGATAATTCTGAGTAAATCCGCTCTCTGCGAGGATGGAATTAATTTCGGTAACTGGAATAAGTACGAAATTGACTTTAAAGGCAGCAATAGCAAGATAGAAGGTATTATTAAATTGCATATAGTCAAGGTTGATCTCGACAAGATCGAGGATTATGTATGCGCTCTGATTTCGATTCCGCACTTGTGCTTTAGCGATTTGAGCGATTTTCGTGAAATTTTAAAGAAGAATTTTGCCAAGGGATGTGGTGAAATTGAAGGAGAAAAGGACGAGGCATTGTTAAAGAAGAAGTTATTTTTGTTGCACCAAAACTTTGAGTGTTTGACTCATATCTGCGCCCCCAAAGAGTTGCTTAATTTTGAGAATGATATTAAGAAATGCGTGCTTCCATTGTGCACGGATGTACGTTACGTGACTGCTCTGAAAATTTTGGATTTATTCTATACAGTACTGGCCAGTAATGAGAAAATTGTGAATTCGAGTATCCTGAAAGTCCTAGATGAAAAGTTGCGGGTCAACTTTAATTCACCGTATCACATGGTAAGAGATTGTCTTCTGTAGTTACTAAGAAAATATAAATCTAATTTTGATTTAATTTTGTAGATTCGTTTATTGACTTGTCACGTGTACACTCTGTTTGAGCAATGTCTCAGCAACGAGATTAACAGGGATGACTTGAACATTTTCAATCTGTGCTACAATGTGGAATCGATTACTGCACAAGTGGATACGTACCGTGATCAGCTGTACTCCTTGGAGAAGTTGAGCTTCGAGAAACAAGAGAGTAGCAGCAGTTTGGATTACAAATTCGTGGCTGTTAGGTACATGAGCGGTGTGCTGTACATGAACTTCAAACTCTTATGGGAGCCCACTGTGAAACTGATTCAGAGTCATGCACATAGAATGGACAAGAATGAATTTTGGCCAGTTTACGTCGAGATTCTGAAGCAGGCCAACGGTTTCGTGCAGAATCCACCATCGAGTTTCATCGAGTGTTTGAATGTGGAATTCGATTTGATCAACGATTTGTACAGGAACAACTATGAAATCAAGGATAAACCGGATTTCAATAATCATCGAAGGTATCTGTGGAAAGCATTGGCGCAATTTCCAGAGTACGCCGAGAGCAAGAGCAAAGACATATCACAGCTTCTTTTGGATTTCATTAAGTAAAGTTTTATTCACCCCATTATAATTGAATTGTTTCTTAATATTGTTTATTTTATTTGCAGAGATGAATATTTGCGTTCCAATTCGGATATTGCATCGTCTTGCAATATAAAGAAGCATGATTCTGATTTGGTGAATGAAACTATTGACGACGAGATGGAAGAGCAAGAAGATAATAAAATGGAAGACGACGAGGAAAGGGGTAAGAAGGAACTGGAAGAGATCAAGAAGAAACTTAATAGAGCTGGTCTAATTACTGGACTAAGAAATGCCACGCAGTAAGTTTGGTCAAAGGTAGAAAATTAAGAGTGTAAAATGTAATAAATTATTTTTTTTTTAGAACGCTTCAGCAATATTTGGAAGTATTTTCGAAGGTGCGCAATCCGCGTTCGCTGTACAAAGAAACGGAATTGTATCATTTGTATTTGGACCTGTTGAGTCACAAGGATTCTAAGATTCAGAGAGCGGCGTTGGATTGCTTGCTGACTTATAAATTCAAGTACTTATTGCCGTACAAACAGAATTTGTACAATTTGATCGACGACAAGGATTTTAAAAATGAGTTGACCATGTTCACGTTGGGCAAGGAAAATTCAACGGTGCAAGAGGAGTACCGAGCGGATCTGTTGCCTATAGTCATGAAGATAGTCCATGCGAAGATGATCACTAAGTTCGGTTTGAGGAGCGGAGGAAAGTCTGGTGGATTTGTCAGGAGGAATCTGATTTTAAGATTCTTGGCCGGATGCAAGAACACAGAGATGATGTCTTTCATGAAAATGTCTTTTAAGCTCTACAATAATTTCATTAAGGATGATATCTCGGCTATGGTCGGTGAGATTATGGAGCAAGTGGATCTGGAGAATTTCCTGCCTCCTAAACGTATTTTGAGCGGGGTTAATCTGCTGGGCGTTGTCATGAAGCAATTTGGAAACCACATGGATGAGGATCTTTTGCGGTACATTTTAAAGATTCTGTTTGTGGTAGGTGCTCACATAAAGGGTGCCTACAAGAATCGACCGGAGATTTACATCGGTTATTTGCCGACGCTGAGGACGATCAGGACTAGTTGCTTAAGTTTAGTGCAACAATTCTTTGAGCATTTCGAGGATTTCGCTTGGACGGCTCAAGAGGTGAACGTACTGTACGACTTGTTCGTATGGCCGTATTTGGATAAGATGAAGTTCGAATCGCTGAAAAGCCCTACGACTCTACTGAAACTTTTGTGTTATTGGGGTAAAGTACCCAGGTACTTCTCATTGTTGGTTAAATATCACACCGATGATAGACTGATGAATCCTATGCAATGCATGATGGAATTAATTTTGAAGAAGGACACGCACATGAGTGTTATTAATTCGATGCTGGAAACCGTGGAAAAGATGTTGCGTTACGAGAAGAGCGAAGACGAAGATATGGTTCTAGCAATACCTGTCGACAATCTATTGCCAATAACGAAAGTATCCGAACAGGTGCAGATTAAAGGTAAATTGAATTATGGCACATCCATTCTGGTGCCGCACGTTCTTTCCATACTGGAAGTCATTAGAAGGAAACTTAAAGTGCATTCGATAAATCACGCTGAACTGTTCATATTGTCTCGGATATCCGAGCTGTCTTGGGATTCCAAGACAAACGAGATTATCTTGAACCTTTTGCTGCCAGTGGTGCTGAAGAAGTGCGTTAGCAATAAGGATGAGGATGTAATAATGAGATACCTCGTATCGATAAATAACATGCTAAAGATAGTGGAAACTCCAGAAGTATACTTACCAAAAGTATCTCCACTCTTTGGGTGTTCGAACTTCGTCACATCGCGAAAATTGTTGTGTCAGATTTTGGAAACAATGAGCAAAGGTAATAAGGATATACAGGATATATACGAAATCGCCAACGGGTTAAACGCATTCGATACAAAATGGGTGGATCAACCGAATTTCCAGAAACGTTTCGAGGCGTTCAAAAGGGTAAACGAGATCGTTTCCAGTCAGAAACCTTTGAGCAAGGAGATCGGAATTTTGGTGATTTACAATTGTTATTACATGCTGAACAACGAATCGGATTTGTCGCTCAGAGAGAATTCATCGCATTGCTTAAAAACATTGACGCCGTATTTGGTTAATCAAGTGCCGCACGTCGATCAGAAATACGTAATCGAAGAAACCATTTTGGCAATGATCAAGGATGGCATGAAGAGCAAGAAGATGAACTTGAGAAACGAATGTATTTCTTTGCTGGGTAACTTGGCCAGAGAGTGCGCCCATACCAACGTTATTCTTCAGGATTTGAACAAGCTAACGGATAAGCACGACTTGGAGGTGGATTTCTTCGAGAATTTGGTTCATTTGCAGGTACACAGGCACGGTAAAGCGCTCACCAAATTCATGAAGGTCTTCAAGAACGAAAGTTCTTTGCCGAAGCTTCGAACACTCACCCAATATATACTTCCGTTGGCCGCTCATTACCTCTGCAACGAAACCTTCTCCACCAAACATCAACTTATCGATACATCCGCTGAAACCATCGGCGTCGTATGCAGACTTCTTCCACAGCAGATCTACCTTGGCGTGCTGAAGTATTACTTGAACAAGTTGAGAACGAGTTTCACCTATCAGAAACAATTGGTTAAGGTCGTCGTGCAAATCCTGGACGCTTTCCATTACGATCTGAGTCAAGGCCAGGTTGAACCACCAAAAGTTATACCACGCGTAGAGTATGAGGAAGGTAAAGATGAAGACGAGGAAGAGCAGCAAGAACCAGAATTAGGAGACATCGAGGATGAGTTGGAGAAGGAGGAGTTTACGGAAACGGAATGCAAACCGTTCGATAAAATCACTGTTCTATCAAAGGCTACCGCCACGAAATTAACTGGAACCATTCAGGAAATTTTGTTGCCTCAACTTCACAGATCCTTGGCGACGTTAAGTCATCGCGATAAAGCGCACAAATTGAATAAGAAAATGAATTTAGTTGAGAAGGAGGAGGAAGATCTGTTGAGGGTTCCAATATCTTTGGCTGTGGTGAAATTGTTGCAACGCTTACCTAAAAAAATCCTCGACACGAATTTACCTGGGTGAGTTATATATTTTAATAAATCCTATTTAGTTCGTTTTTAACGTTTTCTTTTATATTTCAGAGTACTCATGAAGCTTTGCACTTTCCTTAAATCGAAACTGGAGAGTGTGAGGAGGACTGCGCGAGAGACGCTTCAGAATATTATGAAAGCTTTAGGACCAAAGTACTTGAACGTCTTATTGGAAGTAATTATTCCGCTACTCACCAAAGGTTTTCAAGTGCACGTTCTTGTATTCACAATACACGCTGTATTGAATACACTGAAAGACCAATATCAACCGACCGATGTTGACAAGATCATGTTGATGGTGATCGAGATTTGCAAAGCGGATTTGTTTGGAATCTTATCCGAAGAGAAGTCGGTGGTCCGATTGATAGAGAAAACGTCGGAAGCGAAATCGATGAAGAGCTACGCAATCTTCCAGATTTTGGCACAATACATCACAGATAAATGCATAATGGATTTGCTTTTACCTCTAAAACAAATATTATCAGGAGCGCGTTCCTTCAAACATGCTAAAACTGTGGAAGAGTGTTTGAGGAACGTCACGCTAGGCTTAATTGACAATCAATTCATTACAGTTTCATCGCTAATCATGTTTGCTTATGGCGTTTCTTCGGAAAGTATTCCAAACTTTATGAACAAAGATGCTAAACCCGTCCAGGCTGCACCAGAGAAATTATTAACTGTCCAAACCGATTCATATTTGATACCCAAAGAACCGGTGGGAAGAACGATGGCTTTACAAGCGAAGAACAGCGCAAACGCTCACGAGCATATTATTATCGAGTTCGGTTTGCACATAGTTTATTTCATATTGAAACGAGAGAAGCTTCACGACGAAGAACTCAAACCCTTGCTGGATCCTTTCGTTAAAATCTTCAGTGAGTGTTTAAACTCTAAGCACGTAAAAATAAACACCGTCACAATGCAATGTCTGCAATGGGTGGTGAAAATGGATATGCCGTCGATGAGGGAGAATATGAAAGACATAGTGGAATCGCTTTTCGCGATTTTGCACAAATACGCCACTCCGGGCTTGCAGAAGGGCGATAATTTCGATTTGGTTGTTGCTGCATTTAAGGTATTTATTTTAATTATTTAATAGAGTTGATTTTTTTTAATATTGTATTGTTTATTTAGGTGATGACCGTGTTTATTCGCGATGTAAAATACGTGACTTTAGATAAAGATCAACTGAAAGTGTTGCTGCTGTACGTGGAGCAGGATCTACACGATAACGATAAGCAAGCTATCGCTTTTACTTTACTGAAAGCCATCATATCGAGGAAATTAGTAGCCAAGGAGGTTTACGATATTATGCAGAAGGTCGCCGAGCTCAGTATAATCTCAGAATTGACGCATATTCGACACCAGTCGAGGACAGTTTTCCTTCAATATTTGATGGATTATCCGCTGAAGAACAAATTCTACAAGCTGATCGACTTCTATTTGGCCCAACTGAAATATGAGGTGCAAGTTGGTAGGGAATCTGCGTTGGAGATGGTGCAAAGCTTCATAAGGAATTTGCCATTGGTAATAATTGACTTATTTTGTTTTTCTCATTTGAACTTTATTAATAGGATTAATATGATTACAGAAAATCTTGAAAGAATTAAGCCCAACATTATTCGTGCAATTGGGAATGAGGCTGGTGAACGAGGATGTTCCAAGTTGCAGGAAAACAGCCGCCGAATGTATTCGAAGTGTTCTCAGTAAAATTACGAAAACCGAACGCGATCCATTATTCAATATGACTCTGAGTTGGCTGAAGGATAAGAAAGTTCTGCACAAAAGGTTGGCTGCACAACTTTGCGGTTTACTGATCATAGTCGAAAAGGCGTCATTTGAAGACCGTCTGCCCAACCTGATTCCACTGGTAATTCTGCAGTTCGGCCCGATCAACGAAGGTCCCGGTAAATGTGTGCTGTTATCAAAAGACGAAGAAATAATTGAGACTGACGACAAACAGGATAAGAACAAAGACCATCATCTCTATCAAGTCCTGCAGATGATTCTAAAGCTGTGCACGAATTGCCCTAACTTCTTGAAAGATTCGCGAACCATAGAAAACCTCGCCGTCCACGCCCAATCTCTGTTAGCCTATGACCACGAATGGGTGAGATTAGGTGCAGCGCAATTTTTGGGCTTCATCTTCTCAACCATAGACATAGAGAAACTGTCAAAGTTGCTGATGAATAACGAAAAACTAGAGGGTGCAGGATTCTTGTATTCAGATCCGCACGGCGCAATCAAATCGTTGACGCTAGATTTTTGCGCGCAGCTTCAACCGAACGCAATCAAATGTAATTTGGCGGAGCAAGTCATCAAGAATCTGCTGTTCATAGCTAAAGTCATCAAGGACATTCCGATATCAACCACCAAAGTCGTAAAAGAAAACAACGAGATGACGATTAATCTCCTTTGGTTAGTGAAGTTGTTAAGAAAGTCCATCAACTTGGAGATCCGAAGTGGAAGTATCGTATTACGACACGAGATCTTCAAATGGATCGGTGGAATTGTGACTGTAATGGATTTCGAGGTTTACAAGCCGATCATGTTTCATTTGATGGCGCCTTTAGTCAGGGAATTGACTACGTCCTCAAACAATACGGTTGTCTTGAGGCGACTCGCAAAGGATGTGGCGAAGATTATCAAGAACCGCGTCGGAATCGACGTGTACACTGAATACTTCTCGCAGATCAATCAGAAATTGGAGATCAAAAAGTCCACGAAGAAGAGGCAAGCTACTCAGTTGGCTGTGACGGATCCAGAAGCCTTTGCTCAGAAGAAAATCAAACTTAACGAAAAGAAGAAGGATGCCAAGAAGAGGAAGATAAGAAAGATGAAAGATGGAACTTACGTTAAACAGAAGGAGGTAGATTTGGAGCAGGACATGGAGGAGTAATATGTAAATAATTTATATATGTTAAGAAAGAAACTAAAGAATAAATGTTATAATAAAATATATTTTAAATAAATATTCATTAGAAACTATAATAAAGTTACGCTCCGAGCTTTGCTCAAAGCGAATTCGGATATTGTATCGTGCAAGTCGACGCCGTCCAAAACGTCGTGCTCCATAGATATTATGGAAACAGTTTCGAGTTCGTCCTGCGCGTTTGTTGACTTCAAGTATTTTTTTACAGTATTAAGCTTGCAGGATGAGTGTTCAACGGTGGCAACGGTCACAGGCAAAGTTAATAATATTCTTAAGCTAATGAAGACATTGGGGAACGTCGCCTGAAGATTATTTTCAAAAATATACTGCAAAATATCCTGCGGGTTCATATCCTCGGTGCAGTTTAGGTAGCGCTTCAAAGTTTTGATTTCGTCGAATAACTCTGCTCCATCAATATCAGACTCGTTTCGCTGTTCATGCGATAGTTTTAAATGCAAATTTTTACAGCACTGCTGGAGTTCTTCCTCGCTCGCTCCCACGATTCTATACAGAAATCCGAACGTTTCGTTATAACTGTACAACGTTTGGAATCTGTCGATGATCGAGGTGAAGGCTTGGTTCAGGATGAAATTATAAAAATTCACTTTGAAATCCAACACCGGATCAGATATTATTGGGTCATCGTTACTCTCGGCATCTGCTTTGCGCTTTTTTCTACGCGGTTTTGCAATCTCCGTCGCACATAACTTTGGTTCCACATCCAAATTCTTGGCCAGATCCGAAGCTAACGTCAGCATCTCTCCAAAATCGTTGTCGGTGCGTGTGTTCGTTAAGAACGTAGCTAAATTCCTCAATGAGGTAAGGCAACTGGATATATTTGTTTTTTCATTTTGTATCATCTCGCTAACAACGTTGATTTCGTATAGGACATTGTACCAAGTTACGATGCAGCACAGGAACTTGTAGTTTGAGATCTTCAGTGCTAACGAATGCGCCGCGTTATTCGTATCGAAATCCTGCGATTTATCATCTGCAATTTCCACCAAAGCATCATAGACTAGCGCAATATCGTATCGCAACAATTTCATAGCGTCCATTCTACTCGACCACCTTGTATCATCGCGGAAAGGCATCAAATTCAGATTGACAACGTGTCTTTCCAGAACGGCCCATCTCTTCGTCGATCCGCACAAAAACACGAATAACTCTTGCACCAAACCGAAAAAGTTGATGGTTTCGTAGGAAATGCTAGCTGTATCATTGACGAGGACATTCAAACTCTGCGCAGAGCACGGAACGAAAAAGGCGCGCGGATTTATCTTCATTATTTTAGCTTGAAATCCGCTATGTTTGCCTCTCATCCTCGTTCCATTGTCGTAACCCTGTCCACGTATATCGAAAATGTTCAAGTTGAGCGCCAGAAGTTCGCGTAATACGAAAGCACTCAAGTCTTCGCCACTTGAATCTGTCATTGGACAAAGGCCGAGAAAATGTTCCCGCACTTCGACCTGCTTCGAGTTCAAAGACACGAATCGAATAATAATGGCCAGATGCTCCACGTTATTCTCATCCGGTGTGCAGTCTAAGATTATGGAGAAATACTTAAACTTCCTAATCATATTCAAAATAGTATCTTTTATTTTCAATCCAACAATATTTATAATCTCACTGTGTATTTGGTATCCTAAATAGTTAGGCGTACTGCAGAGTTCATCCTTAGATCTCTCGATTCTATTGATGTGCTCGAGCATGATGGCATCAAACCTGGAGATCATCTCGATGGCTTTAAGGAAATTACCATTATCATCATCAAACAATGTGTTCGAAGAGGATCCACGAAACGCCAAACCTTGACTGGCCAGATAACGTATGATCGCGATAATCCTCTCGATCACCGCGTACCAATGCTTTTTCTCCCCGTCTAAAACTCGTTGCTGCAAAGTATCGATTTCCGTTTTGCTCTTCAGCGACTTTTTCAGGACAATCCACGATTTCATATTTTCATTGTGCGTCAAACTTTTCTCGTGTCGTACCATTGAGAAAGTCAAATGCTGCCAATCGGAACATCCGATTTGGTACGATAAACGTTTCTTGTAATCACCAAAAACTTTACAGCAGAAACAATACACTGAATTGTTTAATACCGAATAGATGAGCCAATCGCGAGGAATCTCTTCACCGTTTGGCAGTTGTCGATAGTAATAGGTTTTAGAGAACTTTCTACCGGTCGACGAGCAAGGAAAATCAAAGTCCTTCACTTGAAACGGACCTCTCTCCGTTAACATTCGCGCAGTGTGAGCATCGATTTTGGCAGGCCACGTACCTGGATCGTTTGATAAGACACTCATCAACTGCTCATTCCCTGCGCCATCCTCCAGTATGGGACTTATGCATTCCGAAATACTATCTTTTATCACTTGCGATTTCATAAAATGCGAATCCGATGAGCCGAAGATTCTCCTCTCTGAATGATTTAAACAAAAAAATAAACCATTTAGATATGTCTAAGGCAATTTAGATAGTAACAAACCTGTATCATTTGTTAGAAAGTTAATTTCAGTCTGTTCAATTTTCAAGTACTCTTCTATTGGACTAATCTTTTCTAAACTATCATCATTTTCCTCCCCTTCCAGTGGTACAGGCATTTGGCCTTTAAAAAACACTTCTTTTATTGCAATTTGCAATTCTGCAATCAAATCAATATTATTATATTTACAAGATTCATCAAATGTTAAAACCGTTTTACCTTCCATTTTCCTCTTCTCCTTTTCCATTCTAAGCTTCCTGAATTGAGCACCTGACAGTTTCTTGGGTTTCTCTTTTGGCAGTCTTGTCTTTCTCTTCTTTGTTCCTGACACATTCTTGGCTTTTCTTTTGAGATTTTCTGTTGCATAAAATTTATATTAAATGGAATATAATTAAATAATTATCTAAATACATGCCTTCTTCATTGCAAATAATATTAAATGTTGACTGTTTATTATCCAAGCACTCCAATCGATTTACAGATTCAGAACTATCTTCATTTTCCTCTGACACTTGTGCAGTTGTTTCCTCTTTAAGAAAAACCACATTTAAAGCATAACATATTTCAATGACTACATCAAAACTTTAAATCAGCTACAACTGAAGAAGAGCGTACCTTTGATTTTTCTCTTTTCCTTTTCCATACGCAATTTCCTGAACTGTGCACCTGATAATTTCTTGGGTTTGTCTGACTTAACTGTGTGTACATCACACATAATTAGAGAAAATAAGATTTTCTTAAGAGATCACATACCTGGGTCACTTGATATCAGATTGAAATTATCATTTTCCATGTATTCATGTATTGAACTCTTCGTCTCTGAACTATCCTCTGTGGTGTATTCTTCTTTCACCAGCACTTCCTCATTTAAACACAATTGTGCATCCATATCGTTGTTACCAGTATAGTTTTTTTTATTGATGCAGCAGATTCTATTGAACTTTAATTAACAACAACTTCTAATTAGAATAATTGAGTTTTACTCCAGAGATATTTATGACTTTGAATGTATATAAATACCTAAAGTTAATTGTGGTACTTTACTGTCTTCAATTTTAAATTCAGACTGTAATACAATACTGGTCTGTATGCAATCAGGTAGTACTTCTGCTAAACCCTTCTTATCCTTGGAACTTGAGCACATAGGGATCATTGCAGGTCCTAATCAATCGCATTGATTCTACATGTAAAATGTGGTTTTGTTATTGTTCAAGCTTCACCTGTCCACACAACTGTTTGGTATATGCTTGGAATTGTAGAGGGGCGCTACGGTCGAAAATTGCGCTTAGTCAGTGGCGTAACCATAAATTGGTTGCAATCCAGCGGTTTCCAAACTTTATTCTACTACGCCTCCCCGAAAAAAAACATTTTTTTCCGCGCCTCCCATACATTTTATTGTTTTAATAGATCAAATAATATAGACACGTTTTATTTATTTGAAGATATTATGGTATAAAAATAAATTTATTAAAAATTTTTGGCGCTTCCCCTGGCAAGAGTCCGCGCCTCCCAGTTTGGAAACCGCTGTTGTAATCAATCCCAACGTAAATTTTTAGTAACGCCACTGTTTTGATACAAACTACAAACATCCAGGATCGTCCTAAGATATTTTGCGCCCGTGGGCTTAAAAATAATGCGCTTATCTTGATAAGAAAATACGTGTTAGGGGGGCGCCCGTATGCTACTAAGAATAATGCGCTCCTTGTTATAAGAAAACACACGGGGGAGTCAAAATTGCCGACCCAAAAGGCTGGCGCCCCGGGGTTATGGCCCATTTGCCCTGCAAACATTCGCTATATTTTTTCTTTAAAACGGCGTTCACTTGGCTTTGAGCCTTGTTTTGTCTTTATATTAGAGAATCCAGATGTTGTCTACTTATTTTTGTCGAAAGACAAGTGTTATTATGTTATTATTAGTTAGTATAAGGATATAATCCGGTGGCAATCGCAAGCCCGACAACCGAAATTCCGTCTATCGAAATCCCGACGTTCGAAATCCCGAGTGTTTTGAAATCCCGATGTTCGAAATACCGATTGTATCGAAATCCCGACGTTCGAAATCCCGACGTTCGAAATACCGACTATCGAAATCCCGACTCTGTCAAAATCCCTACTACCATAATCCCGAAAATAAAAATCCCGACTATATCAAAATCCCGACAATCTAAAACTTAATAAAATTATTAATTGTTGTAATATATTCTTTATTTTACGCCATATATGATGTTTGTTTTATTTTATCTTCCCACTCACTCTTCCTTTATTTTACTCTTAAGTTTTCTGTGAGTAAAAATTCAAATCCAATAAGTTATAGTGTTTTTATCTGTAATTATTGTTAAATTTCTTGATGCACATGCACAAAATTCACTTATCCTTCTGTAACTTGAAAATAGTTTACAATGTATAATGTTTTTTTTTAATTCGTTCTAGCTAAATTTATTTACTCGCACAATAACAACAACAAAAGAAATTACCTTCCCCACGTATATGTTTTTTTTTTCGCGTAGATATCGGACAGTTAATTAACAATATAATTTTATAAATTCTATATATTTTTTTATCAATTATCACAGCATATAAAACTTAAATCCGCGGAGCGCTCGAAACTCCATTATAACGGTAAGTAAAAATAAACACCCCGAACAATAATATACATTCAAATAAGGATAAAAATACGTCAGGGTCAAATTAGCTTTTGGAGTTGCGCTGCTGTTTCAGAAGTTCGTCGATTTGCGCTTTGTACATATCCTTGACATCCACCAAGTCCAGCTTCAGCTCTTCAGATTCCTCGACTTTCTCCCCATACAGCTGACACATTGTTTCGTACTGCTGCTGCAATTCCTCCAACTCATTTTTCACTACGTCGTAATCTTTGCACTGAATCTCGAACTCTTCGACACGCGTCAGCAGATTCGAAATTTCCGCATTAAGGAGCGTTCTCTCGTGTTCCCTTCGGTTTAACTCCCATTGCAGCTGCTGCACCTCTCCATCTCTCTGCTTCAAGCTGGTTTGGAACATTTGCATCTCTAGCATATTGGTGGATCTAGACACGCTCACTTCGAAAGGTTCATCCTAGAATGAAATTATAAGAAGTTAAATGAATTAAGTTCTACAATTAAACTTATATAGTACTTACAGATGGCCAAAGTGAACTATTAAGGGATTCCGAAAGTGAAACTCTACCAATACTTAAGGCTGGAGAAACGGTTCCCGGATTCGGTGAAGTCCGGGTAAAATTAGCCAAAGAATCGTTCCGGTCACGAATTTGCTCCTAAACAGTAATTAAATTACATTAAAACAATAATCGCGAATTTGTGCAATAGAATTACTTGTAAGACCATGTTACGTTTCCTCTCCGATTCGTTTGCGGATCTTTCGCTGATCAACGTCTGCTGCAACAATTCGATTTCCTGCTGTAACTTATCAATAATTTCTTGCTCGCTTTTAATTTTCTGTTTCAAATTATCCACTTCCCTATAGGAAAAAAGGAAAAGTTAAAATCTGGTAAACTCTTATTGGGACGTAGTTTACATACCTATTCGCATCTTGCTCTTGAACCATCTTATCAGTTTTCTGTTGCTCCAATTGCATTTTTATCATTTCATTCTCGTGCATGAAAGTGGTGATCTGATTATCCAAGGCGGTCAATTTCGATTTCAGCATAACGCACTCATCTTTAATAGATTTCTCCGATTCGTTAGAGCCGTGAGCTTATTTTGCAATTCATCTAAGCAAATAAAGAGTATAATAATGGTATTTGTTAAATAAACGAAAACCTCTTACTTATTTTAATAACAAAACCCTGCTCGATCTTCTCGAAACTGGCCAACTTCATATTGTGTGTAGCCTGAAGAGTTTCCAGCTGACGCACCAACGGTTTACTGACTTCGAGTACCGACTGTGTTAATTCCTCATTTCTACTTTCGGCCTCATCCAATCTTCTGAGCAAATCCATGTTCTCCGCACGCAAGCCCTGCTCCTTCTTCAAATAAACCTGTTCAGCATCACGCATCTTTGATCTCAAATCTTCCAGCTGATTGATGATCTCTTCGTTTTGGGATTCCGTCATGCGTTTCTCATTTTCCAAACTTTGCAGCATATGCTCCCTGTGCAACAGTTCGCTGCTTGCCCTATTCTTATCGAGTAGCTCTTCTTGGCTGCATCCAACGACTTTTTAACCGTCTCGTGCTTCTGTTGCAGATCGTCGTAATTATCCTTCAACTGATTGAACTCGAAATCAATTTTCTTATTTTTCGCAGTCAATTGGTGGACTGCCTCGATCTGTGACCTCTCTACTTCTTCTTTGGCTTGCAGCGATCTCTTCAGACGATCAGTTTCCGAAGACAAATCTTCCACCGATTCTCTACAAAATAATTTAATAAAAGAAATAGTCCAAGTAATTAATTCATTGATTTATAACTTACTTGAGGTGCTTAATGGCGGTTTCGTTATCCTTTTCCTTCGCTCTAAGTTTCTTAATAATATTGGAATGTTGTAGCTGCTGCTTGGACAACTTTTCACCTTCCTCGCGAAGCTCTCTAATCGTCTGAATTTTCTCTTCCAATACAATATCCATTTCACTTTTGCTCATTCTAGTAGAGCTATCGAGTTTGCATTGTTCAAGTTGCTTCCGCAAGTTATCTTTCTCTCTGATTGCTTGCTGGAATTTTCTCTCCAATGCAGACAAACGTTGTGTGTATTCCTCTGTGACTTGCGAGAGGTCTGCAGACTCTAACTGCTTATTAACAATCTCGTCCAGCTGCTTGCGCAGGTGACTGTTGACTTCTTGTATTTCAGAGTTCTTCCTAGTGATTTCGATTAATTTTGACTCGCGCGATTCCAGTATTTCCGTCATCTCTGATAACCGTTTGACTAGTCTCTCTATCTCCGTATCATCGCTGATGCTGGACGCTTCCGACAATTCCCGATTGTGACCCTTAATTTTCTTGAATGTCATTTTTCCCAGTAGACTGTCGATGTTTGTGTCGCCCTTGCTTTTCACTACCACCGGTAATTTCGCTGGGCTGTGTCTGCTGTGAGTACTACTGGAATCGCCATTCGGACTGGATATAATCTCGATGTCCGATGATGTTGTGGTTTCGAATTCATCGCCTGAGGTGTGGCCAGAGGTATGGTCGGAACCGATTTTGACTAAATCCGAGCGACTCTCCGAGCTGAACGGTGATGTTTCCCTAGGGGGCATGTCTAATTGTACGATTGAAATATTCTCCAGCGCTTCTGCAGCCTGACTGGAGTCAATCATGCTTTGGGTTAGATCCATGAAATGGTTTGCCTTCGGCTCGCTATCGCGTTTCTCCGTCATAGCATCGGCAAGCATGTTCTTCAAATAAATTGAATTCGTGTTGCTATCGGTAGTTGTGCTTGTGTCGCTGCTGCTTTCCATCACGCTATCGCTTGATACAATAGTCTTATCCGATTGAGCTCCCTCGTCGATTTCATTCCTGACCGTTTCGTTGCTTTCCGATGGAATATCGATTATGTTAGAGTTTTATTTAAGTTAGTCAAGTCCTGTTTCACGCTCTGAGGTTGGGTATCTATAAGATTCAGTGGAAGATGCATTCCCCCTCGACTCGGAGCTCGTGTTATAGGAATTTCGATTAAGTTAAGTGTCTTGTCAGGACTTAGTGAAATATCACTAGAAAAGCTCTCCGCCATCTTCTCAGATTTCACTAAAGCAATAGATTTAGGTTTTAAATTCAAATTAAGACCTTCGAATACAGTCGTCGCAGTACTTTCAGAGACGGAATTATAAGATATTGTGTCGTCCGCCATGCTGTTCTCATCCGCATCATCTGGAATCACCTCCACACTATCCGGTGTCATTTTCTCGCCGCTGCTATAACAAAATTCCAGTTAAACAATAAAGTTCGAACCGGTTCGGATCATAATCGAGATTTCGATAAAGACCCAATTCGAACTTGTAATATTACCCAACATCGTCTGGCGTTTGCAAAGGTGAGACGAATTCGTCCGTGTATTGGGACTGCCGTCGACTAGAAATACTATCAGTTCCTAATACTTCCACTGAACTGGGACTTGTTAAACTATTTGGTAGCACTTCTACAGAGTCAGATGTTTGTTTAGAGCCTAGGTATAAAATTATTATCAAAACATATTGAAAGAAAATGATATTTATGATTTTATTACCTAAAGCAGAACTGGTAGAAATTGAAAGAGCTTCAGATTCTGGTGATGTTGTGCATCCAGTCCCTCCATTAACTACTTCAACACTCTCAGAACTCTTCCTATCACTATCAGTGCTTACAATTGAAACTCTATTATCTATATTTCCTGGCTCCATCTCTCTATGCTTGACAGCAGAAGTGCTATCACTAGATGCTATAAATTTATTACATAAAATCAAGTTTATCAACAATCAGTCGAATATCAAATATTACCAGCACTCTCCAAATTCTCATCTTCATTGTTTTCAGGTGTAGCAACAAATGACAAAACATCTGGATCTTCGCTGGTCTGGACAACAAGTTTACTGCCACTGAAATGTTCTATACCTAAATCAGCAGAATCATCCAAGCTATCCACTGAATCTTTGCTATCCTTTTGCACCAAGCTTTTCTCATATGGATCGAAGAATGAGCCAGTGAAAGACCCCCAAATACTTGTGGAGCCCTTAATACTTTTGTATAAACTTTTTGTTATCACTTCTTCACTGGCCTCCTTATTGGGAGTGCCAGCATTGCTAATTCCCCAGTTTCCAAAGAAATCATCAGAGTTTGTATCTATGGGGGTGTTCGCAGGCACTGTTGTAGTGTCCCCACCATCATCCTTGATGTCCAGGGCTTTATCAATTGTCCTCTGGGCCTCTTTCAAAGCCGACTTGGCAATACTTGCTATTCCTGATGTATCAAACCAGCTCATCTTTATTGCAGGATAGCAGCAGGAACCCCTTAACTTTCAATTTCACATCAAATAAGACCGCTCATTACATCACAGCGTTCATTTTCTACTTAAAATTTACTAATATTAAAATGTAACCGTTCAAGACTATTTGTTTTTAATTTTGACAAGAGCACACGTCAATGCTATCCGTCAATTAATTTTAACTCCCAGTTAAATCGTAAGATGGCTCAAAGTGCCCATGAATTTATATACTGCAAATTTAGGCAACTTAAGTTGCAAATCACTCACGTTTCTATTATTTTAATTCTAGTTTACAATTAAAAGTTGAGAGAAAACATACATTTCTTTAACATTATTTCATAAATTTATTATAATAATTTGTATAAATCAAACATATATATATGTCTCTATAATTAAAATGATATTTATCTCCATTTTATACTTTCCTATAAATATAAATGAATATAGAATTTCCTTGTAATGTATACAAATACTATTTGTTTTGTTTCTTTTCAATTTCTATTTCTAGTAATCTTATATTGAGCTTCTTTCCTTGCACCTCCAAAGTATGCAATTCCTGAAATGCCTGCATCTCTTGTTTCACTTTTTCATATTGTTGTTCTTTAAGTCTCAAATCCATCTCAAACTCCTGCTGCTTCCTTTCCTCAGCTTTAATTAGAGATTCAAGAACAATGTAACTCTCCTTCTCTTTCTACAATATAAAGGTACTGTAATAACATTATATAAGTTTGCTATTTAGTATATATACATGTTTCTTATAATCAGGTCCATCTGTAATTGTTTCCATATCCTCAGGTATATCAGTCTCTATCTTTATATTATCTGAAAGGTAATAATGAATGTTTGCTTCCCAATATTATCCTAAATTTGTTTACCTTCTACTAGATAGTCTTGGTCTTGATCACATTTAACAATCAGTGGTAACACACCCATAATTGAAAGCAATTTCTCCTCATATTCACTGTACTCTATAATCTCACCATTTGCTCTATAAGATTTTCTTCTGAGCTCCTTTTTGAGACTTTCATACTTTCCTCGAATTGCTACACTTGTTTGGAGAAAATAATAGTAGTAAACAAAATGTGTCTTTTTTTAAATATTTTCACAGTATACCCACCATCTGGTGTTCTTGGCTTATCATATTTTCCACTTCCTGAATTAAACACATCTGTAATGAAGATCCAAGCATTCTTCTTCTCCTGCCATGTAACTGCATCACTGTTCTTGTTCTCAACTATGTGCTTGTGTTTCATAACCAGATCTATCAACAGCTTTTTCTCTGCAGTACTGAAATTCTCTGATCTCTTCCTTTTAACACCTTATTTTCTTGTTCCATTGTCATCAGATATATTAATCACAGCCAATTGCAACATGGAATGATGCATCGATCATCATACTTTATCGATCATCAAGTAAAGCTAAAAAAACAACTGTGTTTACAGTTTTTAAATTGTTAAATGTTTTGGGTATTTCTACCGTCGTACATCATCCGGATAACTAACTGCCCGACGCACTCATACATTTTTAGTTTGGTTGGCAATAACAGTACGTAAGGCGCATGCTGTAACATGTGTTGTTTTGACATTT